GGTTACTAGTTAGCTTATATAAAGTAAAAATGTTGATTTCTACTGTATTCCATAATGACAACTATAGTTCATTAATAAATATCAGTCAGTAACAACATAGAACTTCGTACGTACGTACATCGGATCCAGTTGCCACACCACATTAGCACTCAGATACAATTGTTAATACAAATACCATAGTAGTACATGTACTAAATGCATAAGCATTAATCGGAAAAATTAGGGTTTGAAAATGTTATTCAAGGAGTATAATCCAGTGACACAAATTTGAAAAGAGAAAAAGAAAAGAGACACGAAGAATTCAGATTAGAATTTGGGAGAACACAAATAGTGGATACACCTGCACCATTGCAAGCGATTTTGAGCCATGTCATTCAAGGTCTCTAACCATCGTTTGCTATCATCTCGAAGTCCCCAACCAGGTAGTCTACACCTACAAACATGGCTCAGTGCACTTGTCAGTGACCTCATGGATTTGTGCCATGGCTTGATCTGGCCACCCCCAGCTTTCTCCCAACCTACTCCTGCACCATAAAACATCCCACGTCGGGGTAGTCGGTGGTTGGGCATAAGCAACACGTGTCCCAGCCATCTCAATTGATGAAGTTTCATTACTTCCTCAATTGACTTGCCATCCTTAACTAGTACTCGTTTCCTAACAACTGCACTACTTACCCGGTGGTCCCAGGATATACGAGCAATGTTCCGAAAACACCTATGATCGAGTACTAGTAACTCACGAATATCCTCTACTCTTACCGGCCATGTTTCACTGCCATAAAGTAGGACGGAACGAGCTGCTGCACAGTAAACACGTCCTTTGGTTGGTAGATGGATATCTCACCTACGCCATAAATGACGCATGTTTATAAAAGCTAGTCCAGCCTTCTCTATCCGTGCTGAGATTTCGTCACACACCAGACCACAAGGGCTGATGAGACTTTCAAGATAAGTGAAGCGATCGACACGCTCAATTACTTCACTCCCTATCATTATTTCGGGTGTCGATGCAACCCAATCCTGAAGCAACATTTTGCATTTCGAGGAAGAGAATCACATTCCGAACATGCATGCATTGTTGCTTAGAGTGGTCAGAAGACTCTGCATTTTGTCAGCGTCTTCACCAAATAGAACCATGTCATTGGCATATTCTAAGTTAAAAAGTGAATCTCCAGATAGAAATTCAACCCCTGGAAATTTTGGATGAGGAAAGTGTTATCTCTAAAAGCGTGTCAACGACAAAGTTAAACAAGAATGGATTGGACAGCCCTGACGAACACCACTTAAGGTAATCAATTCTGATGACAATTCACCATAAGCTCTCACTCGGTCAGTTGTGCTCGAGTAGAGAACATGTATAAAGTTAACAACTCCTGTAGACTGTTTTAATCAATATGTAGCTTTTTAACAATAATAAAAAACCATTTACTGACTTGGAAAACCACACAAATTTCTTTGTTATCAAGTAAATCAAACTGAATTTTATTTGCCATTATAAAATTCGTGTTATTCTGTTAGTTTAAGGTTAAATGCATTTTTAACGAATAAAAAACGTAGTTGGGCAAACAAATATTCCGACGATTATTTATCATGAATGTGACAATGTTCAGTATTAGTTTTATGATTATTTTCAAATCAGTTTATTACAATGAGAAACTAAGTGATCTCTTTATTATTTGATTCATTTACCCATATCAGATCCTATTACATTTAAATGTTATTGAGTTTAAGTCAAGTTCTAAGGTTTTGTATAATAACATTTGATGATGAATGAATACATGAACACTTTCTAATAAATCATATACAGTAAATTTGGTGTTAATCACGAACTGATTTCACAAAATTTTCATAGCCTACATTTTATATATTTGAAAGCAATGGATCTATAATGTCACTTGACATTACTATGAGAACTGTTCTTAGAATATCATTGATAGCAAATTGAAGGAATGACAAAGTTAACCTAATTCGTGAATTTATCTTTCTGGATATCAAGGAGTTAGTAATTTAATGATATTCACTTATATTAAAAATTTCTGTTCAACGTAGCATGTTGAGCATTTCAATTTAATTATAATCAGAGTAATAATGACTACAAAACTATGGGATGATTTTTCCAATTGAATAGGAGCAAATTCCTTGGAACAAGCCCTGTAATGCTTTGAATTTAAAGCATATAATATTTAATAAATATAACAAAATAAATTTACGTACTACATTTTTATGTCGTACTGAGAGAGACTATAAGCTAACGTTAACTAAGTATATTATACAAGTAGATATATAGGAAATTAGGCCCATAGATTAGTGGATTAATACAAATATGAAGTAAGCTTTCTAAACTTGAATGTATTTAACAAATAATCAGTGGAACTCAACCAGGTCTGTTGTGAGATAGTAACTCACTGATGAATGTGTCGCTCAATTTCGTGGATTAGTTGAAGTTAGACATTAACACTGTTGAACGCCGGCTCAGTGGTCTAGAGGTTAAGTGCTCGCGCGCGAGACTGACAGGTTCTGTGTTCGAATCCCGCGAGCAGGGTCCTGGATGCGCAGTGCTGAGGAAAGTTCGTTCAAAGAGCCCAGTTTCAACAGTTATTGAATAGTCTAATCCTGGATAGTAATGACAGAAAATATGGAAATCATTCAATAGATAATGCGCTTTTGGGAATTTTTGTTAGATATCAAATAAATACCATAAACTATACGATCCAACTTTGAACACAGATTATGGATTAAGAATTGACTGTAATTAATGTAGTTTTGTCAACTTTAGTAGGTATCAAAATGATTAACGCATGATGACTGAATGAATCGAGTTGTGGGTCAAATTCTCAGATTATTTCATACACATAGTTCCCTTTATTATTTTAAAGAGAGCAAGAACAAAGGTTGGTGCAGAATAATATGAATTCATTTTATTTCGTTAGGTTATCATCAGCTGCTTACAACCTAAAATATTTGAAAATCAGGGTTATTACATATATTGACAACAGAGGGCGATGAAGGATGAATATATGTAACATGATGTAGCAAAGATTTCGTTAGAGTTAATGAGGTCACAAAATTTTGTTTCGAATATATAGAGTTTGGGAGGGAAGATTCCAGAACATTGAAATAGTGATTAGAAATCATGGAATTAGAACACATTAGATTATTATGCAATGAAGTAACTGAAAACAGATTAATGTTAATAAAGAGAGATATAAATTGAAATTGGTCAGTTATGAATGATGTAATTATAAAATTCAGAGAGTTGGAATGACGTAATAAATAAAAGATAAAAAAGAGGGTTAATGTTACCAGGGCAAAGATTATTATTAATCAAAATAAGTATCAGTAGACTAGGTTAGATGGAATAATTGTATAACTGAGAATACTATTAAACGTACGGTGAGATTACGTAATGCACGAATCGATTTTTACTGAAAGAAAATGGAATGCACTTATACACCTACACAGAGAAAAATAATTAAACCAGATAGATGTAAGTTGAGTCAAATGTAGAGTGGGAGTAAATAAGCACATTTGGTTACCTTATGGTAAACACGATCGATCAGTTATGGAGACAATGTGATTAACTTAATAGAAGATTTTTCAAAAACCTAAGTAGCTATTTCTTGGGCTTTTAGTTCATTTGAACTAAGTGTGCTAAAATGGAACCTTCTTAAGCTAAGACTATAATTTTCGTCTGAAGATGGTATGATAGATATACTTTTGAATAACTTTACAGGAACTAAAAAGTGATTATTTTCTTATAAACACATACATTGAATTAGATTCAAATGTTTCCTATGAGATTATCCATTACCTATTGTCCACGGTTGATTTTCTTTCTTGATGCGGTTCATAAGTATTCTTTCAGCAAATTTGTGAACTCTCATCCCTATGAAAGACAACCGATAGGAACTTTTCATTTGTCCTTAAGGAAGGTGTGTCTCTCTTAATTAGGTTTCGCATTTAACTGGTGTTTTGAGTCATTGATATGTTACTGTTGCAAGTGAGAATTTAGTCAGTTTGGGTTGGCTTTCAATGTACTAAAAATCCCACTTCTCTTGTGCTGCTTCAGATCAGCTCATTCGAGAATGGTAACTGATCAGACAATCAAAGATATAAATGATAAATAATTTGCCTTCAAAACTATATTCTATCACCACTTTGCCTACTATTCCATCAAATTTTTAGTTGTTTTAAAGAAATTTGGGTATTTTGTATGGTATGGTATTGATCAGTCAGTCTAACAAAAACAGTATTCAAATGATCATATCTAATAATGGAGGCAAACATGGTTATAATCGTTAAGAATACTAGTATATTGTGTATGAATCGCATAAAATTTATAAAGTTTAATAAATATCGGTTAGATCGTAAATTAGTCTTTGAATCCGAAAACACTGAACGCAGGAAAGTATTTGATTTACACAATTTGATCCACCATGAAACTGATGGAGTACAAGACCACAGTGTTTTACTTGAGGTTGTTCATTTTTTGTTATTTATCCTGTGTTTGATGAGTTTCTTTCAAGCTAGCTGCCTGAATTCTTAAATGAACTACTTCTTATTATTTGGTACTTACCTTCATCTTCAACGACATCCTCAGTCTTATTACGATGGTCAACCTCATCTATTTTTAATATGGTATGCCCTTTTATCAGCTCGGATTATCATTAATCATTATTTTCCAAAACTCTTAGTCCTGTATAGTTTGCTACATCCGAGTTATTGTGGTTTGTCATAACTCATGTTGGGTTTCTCCATTTAATAATGACGCTTCTAATGAGGTACCTAATATACAAGATTCATTACGAATAGTATTGATACTTGTAATTCAATTTTATTTTTATCATTTTCACTGTGACAATCTGACGAAACAACCAGTAATCTAGCAAATTTCTCTGAAAAATTCACTCTGTTCACCACACTGATTCAGTTAATCTCTCTTTCTGTTTTTTTTTTCTACTTTATTTCCCGACTATACTGTTTAGAGATTTCTATACTTGAATACATTTGACATTATTCTATTCAACTTCATAATTACAATTATCTGATAATTTTTCATCATTTATGTAGTTTTCTTTTATGTTCATTAACATCCGTCCAACATTTTCGATATTAAAAGAAAAATGTATTTTTCTCAACAAAAAAAAAACAACGAAAAAACTAAAATATCATTCTGAATAATTAATAACTTCACACTATATAATTTAACATCTAGTCACGTCATCGTTTACATTCAATAGAATATCAAAAATAAATAAACATTCTCAAAAATGATTCAAGAATGTTTCTTATTTTAAAATCATGAACTGGAGACAATTGAGAAATTATTGTACATTGAAATATTTATCATATTGTTTAACAACAGTTCATCTTCTCCTTACACACACAAACTTACATCATGTTGTGAAGAAAGAATAAAAATGAACTCAATATATACTTGTCGTCTCAACATGTATAGATTTATGTATACATATATGCACAACATATTAAGAGCAGTAGTTACCGACATTAATTACACATTGCGTGAGATAAAGTAGAACTATTTCTTAAGATATAATAAATATACATCAATGAATAAAGTATAGATTAATTGATGTAAATGAATTCAATCATTATTGTCATCATAATTATCAAAGAAACAGTATGAATACAACTATACAATCAAAATTAGTAGTAAATAATGAATAAGATTTTTATGAAATGAATAAAGGAGACTTTATTTCTACAAAACACAATGACACAAAGGAATGAGGTTAGGAAAGATGAAAATTGGAAAAAGGAAATCAACGTGACCATAAAGTCAGTTATCATTAATAAAGTATTTTCCATAGTATTTTGTTAGCAATAGTAATGATAATAATAATAATATTGAAACATACTTATAATCCACTTAAAGATAAATTGATTGTTCAAATATCAAAAGAAAGAATGAATCTCTTCTTCGTTTTCATCGATGATAACATGAAAATAGAGAAAAGTCGATAGGAAAAATAAGAATCAGTGTCGAATAAATCAAATTGATTGTTGAATAAATCTACTATCGACGATATATATTAAGATGATATATTTGTAGAATATGTTCCCATTGGTGGTTTATACAATCTTGGAAATGATAATAGCTGGAGACGACTGAACGCATATTTACGTTTACCGGTGTTTTTCATTACATTATCTAAACGTAGACCAGTGCTTCGAATACATTGAAGAGCTTTAGTAAAACAACTTTCATGCATACCTTCACTCTTGAAAAATATTAAAAAAGTAGAAACAAGAGAAAATTTACGTCATTGAGATTAAACAAATCATGGTTGATACTATCAACAAACATCTCTTTATTATACACTACATATAATTGAAAAGCTATGCAACTGCAGATACTGTAGGATTAGTAACAATATCAGTCAGTTGTTCAGACAAAATTAATGATACAATACTTACAAGCTTGAAACCCTGGTTCCAAATTATAGGTTCAAATATGAACAGTCCTTACATACGGAAAAGATGAGTGCAAGACTAATTAGAAAACAATGTGTTTATTATAAATTGATGGATCATTTAAAATACAAATTCTCTGAAGATACCAGATGTATCTAACTGTTTAATGTACAAAACCTAAATGTAAAGCTTCACTTATCCTAATTTTGGTAACTAAAAGTTTAGTGAAACAGCATTTCTGACAAATAAATTTATTGAAAAGATTTAACTTAACAATTCAAATTAGATCAGAATATGAATGAATGAATGAATGAATAATAATAATTTCACATATATTTTTAAATACTCAAATGAGTAGAACTAAGAAATCTGTTGAAGACGTTATTAATCAACCTATTCCATATTACACCATAAAAATAAGTACAAGCTAAATAAGATCATGACAATTATTCACTTGCATTTACATCAATACTGAACCAAAAATAGTTGAGCATAGACCCACATTTAACGCAACTGAAGTCATAAGACATGTTCGTATTTACTTAGTGATCTGTTTTAGTTCATTGTATTAAAGTTAAAAAATTATTTATTCACTGAACAGTCGATTTAAACTAGGTCGCATATTGACTGACATTTTTTTCTCTAAACTGGAAAAACGACGCACTAGCACAACAGATTGACAAGCTTTCATTTTACTGCCGATATATGGACGATAGATTTATCCTTTGTAATGACTATATTTGATAGAAAAAACACTTGAGCGATTCAATACAGTTCATCCGTTCATAAAATTCACATGTGAGGAAGAGAATGGAGATAGAATAGTCTTTCTAGATATTCTACTTACAAGGAGAATAGATGGGTCATTAAGAAGGAACATAAACAAGAAAACTACTTAGACGGGCCAATATACGAATTCTCTTAGTTTTGTTCCTGTACAGTAAAAAAGGAATCTGATTAAGACACTGTACCATAGAATCAAGACCATATGCTCTCTAGATGCAGTCGAAGACGAAACAAAGGCTTTGTACATGTCTCTGAAAGGAAATGGATATCCGGAGAAATTTATAAATGAAAGCATAACCATTAAAAGAGAGCATAAGGAATGTCTAACCGTGAACAAAACACCTCTGTACATACGTTTACAATTCAGAGGAGATGCACCTAGTGTAATTCGAAGACTGGAGTTACGCAGATCAATCCAAAGAACTTTTAATGCAGGTAAACTACAATTAATGTTTCCCACACGTCTAATGATCACTCCGAGGCTGAAAGATAAATTGCCTAGACTAGCCAACTCTTTCTGTCTCTATCAATTCAGCTGTTCCTGTGGAGCAAGTTATATTAAGAGATGTTCTGGGAATTTGTATATTCCGGCTCGTAAGCACTTCCGAAAATGGTTAAGCAAAGGTGTAGTTAAACTGTTAACAGCTCCATTTTAGTCCATTTAATTCAGACAGGACATACAGCCAATATGGGGCTATCTTTCGCAATAACAGCCAATGGTTAAACTTTCAACAACAAAAAAACCAGTGCCATGTAGACGATAAGTGTAAATTAACTATTTTAATAATTCCATATATATATATATATATATAATTTTTAGCAGTTAGAAGTTCTACACCATGATCAGTCACTAAGCAGTAGTGATAACCAGCACACAGTGTTGTTTCAATTATTCAAATGGTAAATCCAAAGTGGAAGATACTTACACTAAACTATACACTGAGTGATATCGAGTAATGATACATCGACAATTTAAATAGATTACCAATAATTTGTACATAAATAGTGCTGGCACAATGGAAAAAGATTAATAATGTTCATAGATTTTATGAATACATTCCACTAATATGTATTTGAAAAAAAGAAACACTATACAAGTGTGGGCTTTCTGTCAATTACTACTTTAGAATTGTACTACTGAAAAAGTTGTTTGTAGTATAAAATATTTAATCACTTTGTAAAACATATATAACCCCAAAATACTAATGCCACAGAACAGAGACAGTGAAAAACAGAGGTAGAATTTACTTTTTCATAGCATACATAACAATCAGTCAGTCATTGACAACGTAGAACTTCGTACGTTCGTATATCAGTTCCATTTGCCATAACGCATTAGCACTCACATACAATTGTCGATACAAATACCATAGTGGTACAGGTACTAAATGTATAAGCATTAATCGGAAAAATTAGGATTTGAAGATGTTAGTCAAGGAGTATAGTCCAGTGAAATGAATTCGGAAAGAAAATAATGGACATGAAGAATTCAGAAGATTAGAATTTGGGAGAACACAAATAGTGGATGCACCTGCGCTAGTGCAAACGATTTCGAGTCATACATTTTGAGCATACACAACAACAACAATGAAAAACATTTAACAAATGAACATGAAATCTATTTTAAAAAATTAAATAGAGGGATCATCAAAAGTAAAGGTGTTTAATATAAACTATAATGGATAGTATTCATCAACAGAAAAACAAATTCATTAATGAATATTTTCCAAGAATAATAAATAATATTTCAATAAATCACGCTATATATGTAAAGAAAACTTGACCAGAAACTAATGCTACACACGCGATTACAATACAAAATGAACAGAAATATTATTCATAATGAAAATGAATTAATGAATTTTTAATTACATGAATAAAACAAATTAAACAATACGCATAAACATATTAAACTGTAATAATTTCTGTTGAACTACCGGCATTCAACTTTTACTATGTTAAAACAATAACAAAAAAAAACATAATGATTCTATATCTCATACATATCATATGTAAGGTAACAATACGCATAGATAAGATAAATTAATAATAGAAACGCAATAACAGAATGAAATTTAAAAAGTATGAACGATGAACAAGAGAAAGGGATGAAAAATGAGATATACACATTGTTTTATTACCATAGTAACAGAACCAATTTTATAAATGAGAAAAAAGAATCACTTTTACATTTTTTAAAACTAATTATCTATTTGAATTTAAGTTGTTGAGAGAAAAGGCAAACATGCGAACATATACTTTTTGTTATTCCATTTCTTCGATTAATAATAATTGTTTTTGCCTTATACTATACTAATTACAAAATTACTAAGGATAGCAGTAAGAGTAGGAGAAAAAACTTTTTTTTCAAAATAAAGGGCTATAAATAATTGAACAAGGTGTTTCTCAATAACAATGATAAAAACACAAACATACATAAGTACATACACAGATATGATAAGTATTCCTAGTAATGTTCTGTTTAATTCCAAAATATCACCAGACAAATTAATAGTGAATTATAGAAATTAAGAGTTAAATTACGACTGTGTTCTTATTCTACAGTACTTAATATTTAAGAGCAAACCACGAATGAACAATGTAACATCAAAAGTTTCACATAGTTCAATATACAATCAAATAAAGAGAGATAGATTGTGTTTTGTTTAAGGCAAGTAATTATATCAAAAATTGACGATGACAACGAATGAATTCAATGATAAAAAAGTGCTGAAAATGATTTTTTCTTAGAAAAAACTGAGGAAAAGGTTACTCATGATAAGTAGTAATAGTTACTAACAAACACAATAAAATTAACACACAGACATCATACGAAATTAGAAAGAGAAAAGGAGATGGGAAAAGAAAAAGGAAGTGATATTTTTTTTGAAAATGAGATATTTCCTGGAATGAAGGATTATTATTACTAGTATTATTATTAATGTACAAGAAAAATATAGATTATCAATGACTATGTTGTTGAACAATTTTGTTAATAGTTGTGCACACAAAAATATACAAACATTAGCAGAAAACGAATACAAGTGTTTACAGAAAAGAAAAGCGGAAAAGTATCTTCGCGTTTAAATAAAGAAATAACGGAAGACAACATTCAAGTAAATTTCTCTGTTTTATATAATATAATCACCGAAATTCATAATCTAAATATGTACGTAAGAATGTATTTAGAATCACCACAAAAAAACTAAGAGTACTGAAGAAATAAAAAGATTAGTTTAAACCTTATGACAGAAAAGACAACACTTCTTACCATAAATTGATATTTGAAAATACAGGAAGAAACAATATTGGCTGTTTTTGATGAATGCTAAGTGTTGAAAATAACTAATCTGTGATCGAAATTAAAAACATGAAATTCATCCTCAATGATGAATAACACAGGAAATTCTTCTTCTTAAGTAAGATTATTCGTTCATCTTGTTTTTATAATCGTTAAACAATCATGATCACTAAATATCGTTGTATCTTTCCTTGCTAAGTTACACGAATTCATAAAAGGATTCATTTAAAATAACGAATGTGAATATTACTGTAACACAAAAAAAGAATAGTTACTCAAGTTTCAACTAATACAGGACAGGTATGAGCACCGTATCAATTGTATCTGGTTGAGATAGCTGGATAGTAATATTATCCATCATATAACTAAAGTGTCTATTAAAGCCGAGTACATAAACTTATAATTAGTGAGTTTCATCATAATACTTTAGTAGAAAATTGAATGTTTAATTAGTGGAACAGCTTTGACTAATTAGAAAACAAATTGAATTATTATATATGATTAAAAGTCCATACTATAAGGAGAATAAATGAAGTTTATAACAAAACTATAGACAAGTTGTAAATGTATACTATAATATCAGTCACTTATGGGAATGTTATACGCACGAACACAATTTATTAGGAAGAAATCAAATGTAGGATCATGTGTTGATCTTAAGTGTGATTTCCTTTCATTTGACTTTGGTATTAATTTGATGGGATATTCGTTCAATGTGACAATTTATTTTTAACTAGATATAAATCCGTATAAAACTAAATAAATCCAAATAATGAATAAATGTCTACCATCCATACTAAAAATTCTTTCTTATAATATAACCTGTCCAAGTAGAAGAGGTTAGAAAAAAAAGTAACTGTTGTAAACTGGATGTCGAACCGTAATTAAGAATTAACATCATTATCCGTTATAGAACTCTAAAATATGGTTTATAGCAAAGTATACAACTAAACATATAATAATATCATTTTGACACAAATTACTACAATTATTAACTATACATGGTAGACATAATGAATCATCAAAATAAAAGAATGATAATGTAGAAATAGAAGAATAAGAAACCCATACTAAGAAGAAATGGAAAATAGAAAGATGAAACTCTACTTTATATAATCAAACAATCATTTATAGTTTACTCATTTGATTCACTCTTAAATCAGATGATATTGGTATATTATATTAATTGGTAGATTAATAATTTTATAGTAAACAAACTAGCCAAGTTATAATCAATCATAAAAATCTAATAACCTCATTCAATGCTGGTGAAAATAACTTTGTTTTTAAACAGCCAAAGATTAAATATAATCTGTTCGGTAATTCTACATTACAAGATGGAGGAGTTTTGTGCTAATGATAATATTTCATCTTAATTGTCACATATATACAGTATTAATATGTCATAAATATAACATCACTGAAGAGAATAACAGACATAAAATACAACAGATATAAAATTACTTTCAACCATTGGATTTGTTCTAAAGTAACAGACATAGCTGTACGATCTTTAGCTGATTTACAAGATGTTATTCGTAAACCATGAAATGCTTGAGTAATTTCTGATGCTAACTGTAACACTTCAACTGGTTTTGAACGAACAGGTGTAGAAAGATGATGTGTAATATCTGTGAGTAAATCCCAGACATCTTGATTTGAAACAGTTCGACCTAATTTTTAAAAACAAAAAGTATGGAAAAAAAATACTGAAATGTGAGGTTGTAGCAGTTAGCATTGTTATGCATTTACATGATTTGTTTTAACATGTGAGGAGGAAAATTATTTCAATATTTCCATTTATTCTGTCACCCATATATTCGCCTTTGTCAGCTACTCACGTTTAACCTTGACCACATTAATGCATGTATGTGTATGTCTACCCACTTCCTGTATTTTTCACATGACTTATAAAAATGGAATCACTTAGTTATTCTTTGAATCAGTATATAATCGAACTCTAATGTTCCATACACTTGCTGAATATTGTTTGAGTTTGTTTGTTGTTCAATAGTGACATGTCTGAAATAAGCCTACCGTAAATACAACACGTATTTGACTATTGATATGTAGCTGTTTTAAACGTTTTGAGTAGACAGGTTACATAAAAAGTCAAGTAAAAATTATGCCTCATTCATATCAATATCATTCAATCATTTTGGAGTCAATCACGGGCACTATAGTGTTGAGCTTAGTTTGACAGCACTACATGATAACATCATTCAGTAAGTGTTGTTGCTTCAAGTAAACTCAGTGAACCAATGACAAAACCCAAGTTTTCAGATAAAACGATAACATATTCTGAACTAGTTAGTTACAGTTTACATACACATAGTATCTTGAAGAGTATTTACAGAATCACTATGTTTACTGATGTTTTATAAAGTACATAGATAAATCTAATTATAGTTAAAAATGTATTACTACAAGGATAGTTTTCTTAACAATTCGTAAGTCATCGATCGAATAGTTTACTTACCTAACTAACAACGAGATTTAAACTTGACATAAATAGTTTCGAATCTAAAACTATCATTTACCAAAGTATGAGGCTAAAGTTATGATACTAATATTTAACTTAAAACACGGAAATATATGGAAACAAAATTAATTGAAAAAAAAAACTAAACAGATTAGAACAATTTTTCTTCTTTTCACATCATAGAATTACTAAATGAGAACAGAATATTATCTAAACGTGTGAATAAATCAAATACTAAATGAACATACAATCTAAAGTTATTAATCCTGTGATTAGAGTAATCAAATTATTAAATTGAAAAGATTATTTTTCCAACTGAATTATCAACAATTGGTATATTGTGTTTTGATGTATTAAATAGATTTCATAGGATTTCAATTATATTTATAACATTTTAATGAAAAGTGAACAATTTCTTTGTCTACGACAAATATAATGATGGAAACACGCTTCATTAAATAAAAATAATAAATATTATTGATGAAGAATTGAAATCATGTGAAACCATTGTTAAGAGAGTAAGTTATTTCGTTTTGTAGAATAAAGAATAAAAAAAAGAATTGAGACACGAATAATTTGTTAGCAAGAGGGAGAAAAAAACAAATTAGAATGTTTACAAGATAAATAAAGAACTACCCGACAACATCAACAACTTCTAATCAAAGTTTAAAGGAAAAAAAATCATCGAAACATTGAACAACAAAAAAACTTGGTAAAAAAATTTTTTTAGGAAAATTTAGCCGTTCGTTTATTAGAATAAAAATTATTGATGAACAATACAGGATTTGATTATAACGAACTCTAAGAAAGACTTCAATTCATATAACGCGGAATGTGTAAGAAAAAAATAACATTTTAAAGAGAGTGTAAGTCACAAACTGATTCAAAATAGAAAACCACAGATACACAGGGAACATTGGGTAGTGATTTCATTTTAGTTTGGAACTCCTCAGTAGTGCATACATTCACAAGCTATATATATATATATATATATATATATATAGAGAGAGAGAGAGAGAGTTCTAGATAGGACGAAATGCGCATCCTGGATTCCACAGCTAATCATCATCCATCTCTGCTGACAATATTTGTGGCTTGATGATAATATCGAAACCATCCGCAGAGGATGTACATATACCATCAATAGGAAGCCCCAAACAACCGATGCATATCATTACTATTTTGTAATAAGTAAACCACAAACAAATGATCGTCATGATTTTACAAATTTTTCGGTTTCATATTTATTTATAATCAACTACGAAAATTTCTTTTGACAAAATGAAAATTATTAGCTGCAATAACGTGTGACTTTAATATAATTCAATAATCGTATTGACAATTAATCGGTAAATGTATGCTACGCATGAGATTTAAAAATCAAATCTAAAGCCCATGGATTTTTACACTATTTCATATTAAATATTAAACATTAAAGAATATAAATAAAGCAAGAAGAACAACCCTTACAGAATAAAATGGTTTCATTATAATTCAAGGCTTCTCATCAGCTACAAACGGCCTAAATTTACAAAGGAAATATTATGATAAAAATGTTATAAGCTTCCTTGAAGCTTAATTGTTTTCAGTTTATAACACTAGATGCTCCGTAAACCAATCGACCAAATGTAGATCAATATCGTTTAGAGGTCACTTCCAAATGCATTTACGAATTTACATGTACTTATGAAAGTAAGTACATAGGAAGGACTGAAAGAAGGGCATCTTACAAGGTCTTCGGGACATATTCCCCGTAAGTTGTGCCTGAAAGAAAGTAAAGGTCTCGCAAGTACGATTTTTAAAATTTTAATGGGCGGTGGACACAACATGGATTACTCAAAAGCGTTCAAAATTATTATCAGGTAACGTACACTACTTTTACTCTGTTTTACAGAGGCCATTGCCACCAAGCGCATTCGACCTGACTTTTGCATGCAGAAACAAAGTGTGGTAAACCTACCATTGCAACAGTAAGATAGTTATATTATTTTAACGCTTGTCAGTTACATTATCTTTCTAATATGGTAAAAAAAATCCCACTGACATTCAATCAAGACGTTAACTTTAATTTTATATTAGATAGATGCCTTGATTATCACTCATTTGTTAACGATTTGCTTTTATTCATTGTCTCATTGTTACTTAAAACTTTGCCCACTTTTCTGCACTCTATGATTTCATCTTCAACAATATAAATACTCATCAATCTTAGCTATTTTGTTAAATATGTTGTTTCTTCATGTTTCTCAAGTTCTTTCGAACTGAACTTCATGGATTATGGTATGTAATAACACTTATATAATAATATTTCTTTTGAAATTGTGGGCCATTGGAGCTAATGAGAAACTCTGAAATATAATGAATTCATTTTATTCTGAGAATATTTTTTCTTGCTTTCTTTAAATTTATTTAGCGATCAGGATGTATGAAACTAACGAATATATTTGTGAACAACTAAAAACGATAATACAAGTGAATAGTCGACATTCAGAAAGAAATACTCTTTGGAACACACAACATACATATATATACTGTGTTTCTAATCAGTTAACAATTTATTTGGAAAACTAGAGCAATACATGGATGCAGTACACGTATTCATTGGAAACATTCCGTTTTAAATTTTAAGGGAAAAAATGGTTATGGCGTCAGAGAGAAAACGAGTTAGGCTACAACTGAAAATATTCCCCTGCAAAGCAAGATTAATAAAAGGTTGGCTGTCACAACAAAATATAAAAACCATATATTTATTTCTACTTATAACCAACTAGTGCGCCATAATAATGAATCTTTTCCATTTATTCTGAGATAAACATTGATAATATTTCTATGTTTTTTTATTCTCATTATTGTTATCAATAATACAAATTTCCATTTGGTATGTTTTATATTACCCACATATTATATTCAAAACCTACTTCATTATCAACACAAACGATTCCCCAAAATGATTATATAAACATGTATATAATTTTAAAAATTATTACGATTCTACTCTAATCTATTCATATGTACTTGAATCCTCTTACGCGTAATGATTTAATGGATGTAATCTGAAGATGAAGAACAAAAATTTACTCGTACTATTTAAATCTGACGACTAACGGAACGTCAGAAAATTTAGAAACTTAATTTTTCCACTCATTATGTATTATAAATACATTATTTTTATTAACTACTAGCAAGTAGTTCAAATTTTAATACAAATGTTTTGGGATTGATTTCAAGTTGCAGATGAAATCAAACATCTTTTAAAAATGAAGGATTTCTATTAGTTTATTTTCAATTTCTGTGCCATCGTATTGATATTTACCTATAGTTTACATTCAATATGAATAAATGTTACACGTTTTATTCATTCCAATCTGTTCTCAAATGTATGGTTTTTAAATTATTAATCTAAGCACTGTGTTTAAAATTTCAACGGTATTTCTATCACTTTTATCTACATAATTTGATGAATAGAAAACTAAAAGAGGTCACATTTTAGTAAACCGGATATATATCACTTAGAGCTTTAAAAATTAACTGGATTGAAAACCAAATTATTCGTTGAAGTTACAGTACAACTTCAATAATTTACAAATAATAAGCACGAAATATCTCATCGACCGTCATATCATGATAAAAAATAATAGTCATAAAGGTAATAAATCATATAACATTACATAAATAACTGATGAATATTTCTCTATCTATGGCACTTCCGCAACAAAGAATGACATTGAAAAGACCCCTATTAAATAACTGAAGATTATTCATATGGTTTTCTAAAACAAATTGAGGTGAAAGGTTAGCTACTGCACAGTAATAGCTAACATGTTTTTAAACTACATATATTTTGATTACCTGTAAAATATGCTAATTGATGTTAAACTAATAAGTTATATAAAAGAAATTTTATATCTGACCTGGAGCGCCAAAATGTTTTGTATATCGATTGAAATAAGCGCGTAAAGATGTTAAGCCATGATTGTTTACCGCGTTTTGCACAGCAGTTTTATCTAAACTTGAACAAAAAAAAACAATCGTAAAATAAATAAAGAATCTATGTACAGACCGATGTAAGTATTATATATATATATATATATATATGGTGTTAAACACTTAAATTGCATATTTTCAGAACTGAATTGATTCCGTTCTACTGAGTTTCATGGCTTTTTGAACGGATGATTATACAGCATGAATTTTAATTATTTTATTTATTTATTTCAACATATAAATATTGGTATAAAGGGGCACCGAATACATATGCGACACACAAGTCACTTGATTTTTTGATTGGGCTGTGATACATCATGAATTTATTATCATCAAAGAAAAATATACAATCAGCAAACAAATAAGGACAATACAAAATGTTCATTCAAAGGACACAACATAACAAAACTGATGGTTTCTTTTCTATCTAGGAAGCTACAAATAAGAGAGTACAAATAATTACTAAGGACGGTAATAATATTATATCAGTCGAACAAGTAGTGTCTGTAGAGAATCAGTAGTTTTGAAGAAAAACACTGAAATTGAGGTAGATGCATAGTAGGCTTAATCCAGAATGCTACGAAAAACACGCTTACATACAGCTAATAAATTCAAAATAACATAAATCTTAGACATCACTGTGACCTACCTTCAAATATCAATCCATATATTACACAATATTGCAGAAAAAATACAATCCAAAAAAAGTATCCATCACCTGTGAGATCACATTTATTTATTAATGTGCATAGGATCCAATTAGAAGTTACATGCTATGCCAAATTTATCAATAAAGTTTATTTTCAAAAGTTAGCTACAATAACACCATTAAGATCTACACGTCAGGCACATACTCCCCAAATCATAATGACCACTACAATATAAATTAATCGTAATGAAAGATCAATCTAGACTAGTCAATAACTTTAACTTTTAAAGTAATTAATTAAACGTGTGCAGGTCTATGTAGTCGACTTTGAACCACAAGATTTGGTTGCATGAAAGCTACTGATACGAACCTGGGGTTGAAACCGTTGTAGATAAAGGCTTTGAGCCTGTAACCTATTGACTGAAAGACTAGTGCTTCAACCAAAGGGTCACCACTGTAGTTACATTATACATTTAGTAAAGTTATCAAATTCCCAAAAACACTCTGGAGATTACAGTAAATATTAAAATACCCACTGAACAATTATTATTGTATCTCCAACTTTACATGGTATTTGAAAAAAATATACAACTAAAACGTAGCATAAAAATATCACAAGTCGTCATAAACCTATCACAATTAAATTTATGTAAGAATTAAATGCGAATTCCGATAATTTGATATTGGAATGTCTGAAAAGTTTTGGAATCTAAAATATTGTATACTGAAAAATAAAACAAACAGAAAATAAAGAAAACATGAATTAGGTTACACCTACGTTTCAGCAACTGATTGTAGTTCATTGATTCCGACTACAAATGAGACAGGATGTAAACGAATTCGTACACGACCACGAGCTTGAATTTCCGAAGGAGCATGAACCCATGATTTCCAAGGAACAGTAAGCTGATAAAAAAGAAAAGATGGTGAAAAAACGAACAGACAGTAAGTAATTTTACAACCAAAATAACACTTGCAAAGCTTAATGGAATCACAAATTAATGATAGAAGTGTATCATTTCATTTTGAAATATAATAGTAATGTCAAAAACTAATCACATACCAATGTATGTACACGATTTTATCAATTCGACGCTCAAATATTTTATGCCATCAACTAATCTGAGGTTGATCCTTCTTCACAAATAAAATCAATATGAACTAGCGGTGAACCGAAATCATGTGAGTTACTTAAATCACTGGTGAACTAAGTGGATACTTACAAAACTCCGAACTATCATGTGGCACAATTTATCACCTTATTTCACCAGAAAAAGGGGGGTGGAAACTAACTCAACAAGGAAAATTTACCTCATTCCTTAGGCGGTAAACGATCTATTACGGTATAAGACCACAAATAATAATAATTGTTTTAACCTGTCAGTTATTAGTAAGTACAAGAATATTAAATAATATTGAAATTTAATAACTGATGGCAAAATAAACTTAGACACGTTGACTAAAGTCAAAACGTTACATTCGCAATACATAGGATAATCAAAAATCAGTTAGAATACCTCACATTCGTTCAGTCTTGTGACTTTGAAATCCACATGAAATTCTTCAGTATCAGAAAGATTCGAGGTAGGAACGTTCGAGTCCGTATCCTCGGAATTTCTTCCACTCGTATCAATTACGGAATCAGAGAAGTTACCAGATGGACGAAGTGTAACACGATACGTCGACAAATAATCAATTGCCCATGCCCAATCCTCAATCATTCCTTGTTCGTCGCCATAACAACTTAGAAGGCCTTCAAACTGAGCTAGGACACCACATACAGCAGCTTGTTCCCAATCTTTGCGATCCCACCTGGGTATATGCACTGACAACGCCGTAAGAACTGCGGTTAATAGCTACATTTCTCAGGAAAATAAACGCGACTATGTGAGTATTATTAAATACGTTGAAAAAAAGTGGAAAAAACGTCATGGTTAACAACACATATTCAGACGACATCTAACTCCGAAAGCATTTGTAATTAAACTAATTATCAGATGAAACAATCCTGCAAGCGAAATCCGATTGAGAAAAAGACAAATGGACATTAGAGTAAATAATAACTTCCACCAAACATTGGGCGACTGGACATTAATAACTAGCTAGTATAACCATTTATAATCAGTCTAATGGATATATGTTCAATGTTTTGACATACATTCAGTGAAAATAAGGCAACAATAGATCAAAGTAGTCTGTGAAATTCCGGTAAAAAAACATACATATAACAGATTAAAAGAAACCACTGCGTTTGATAAAAATATTCCATTAATTAAATATCATTAGCGATGAAAAAGCGTTGATTGGAGAAATATGTTGGTTGGTATATATCTATGCTTTTACTAGATACTTAATACTCTTACAGTAAAATTTTCAATATGCAAAGAGATGTTATTGATAAAATGAAAAGACTATGCATTCAAAGTTGAAAGACAAACTGTTGGTACATAGTAAAACGTGTTCTTTGGTTGAAAATAAAATAAACTGAGTTCTAGTTCTCCCAGAGCAAGCTTTGATAATAAACTCAACAACAAATTTCTAACAAGAGATTAAATTTATTATTTATTTATTTATTTGAACACATATATATTGGTACAAGGAGGTACCAAATACATATGCGCCACACAAATCTCATTTGATTTGTGTGAGGGCTGTGATACTGTTCGAGTGCCCAAACATAAGCACGTCGTTTTTTTACGGGGCCACACCCGAGCCTTTGACCTAAAGGTATGACCCACAATGCAGTGGACCATCGTAAGGAGATGCAGCCCCATACTAGCCGGTGACAAACGATTGGTTCATACGCCATTTGCTCCCTCAGGGTACTGTAGCCCATGTGCACCATCGGTTTGTAATCTGGGTTTTCCAACTCCCCTAGGTGTACTCTCCATGTCCACCAACCCGATTAAAGCGCCGGACATCCGCTTTCCGTCCTCTCAATTTCGTAAACAATACCCCCGCCACGAGAAGGCAGTGGGTAAGACTTCCCCGGCAGGGGCTATATACGCGTGGCCATGTGGGAGCATTTCGAGAGGTAGAGCGGACTCTCCCGCCTCTTGGTCGTACCAGGGCATTTGGGAGCGACAAGAGATTACTTCTAAACAGTAAAACTTATTTATTTTATACTATCCAACGCTATATCTACATTTATTCAGATACAGTAGCTAGTGAATTATTAAGAGAAATCAGCTGACCAACTTGAGTATAAATTCAATCTTTTAGGATTTAAGCAGTATATAAAGAATGTTTCCAACATCAAACTGATTCACCGCTAGAAATATACATACTTTAGTACATAATAAATCCTACCATAAAATAATTAAATTGTATCTCTCAAGTTATAACTTTCATGAAAAATAATAGAGGATAGAATTGAGTTAATTACTAAAGTACACAAATCAAATAATGTTACTGGTTAATCTACCTGACAAACACATGCATGATGTCGATAATTGAATGAATCTTGAATAATTGAAACAGCAGTAAGTACATTATCATTTATTGGTAACATATTGGGATAAGCGGAACGTTCTGCTTCAGCAATTAAATCAGAATAATTACCACTACTTTCTTTACTAACAGAAAGAGTTTGTTGATTTGATAAATCTGCAAGACCTGACAAGACATTATCCCATAGCACTGATGCTGCACTTTCCCACATACGTTCCAAAGTAATGGATAATTTTTGACCAGCTTTATCTAAAGAATCTATTAAATTTTCACGAGACTCATTTTTCTTTTTATTTATAATTATTACATGATCATTGGGTTGTGATGGTCTACATTTGAATAAAATAAAAAACAATGATAAAATCTTCCTTTTTATGAAGAAAAAAATGTCGAATCAGGATAGAAACTAATATAATCAAGAATTTATAATTCAATGTTACTAAAACTCATTGGAAACACTGTCGTTCAAGTTATTTGTAGTATTAAAAAGGATAGGTAAAGATTAATCAAAACGAATTAATATATTAGTTGGCGATAAATTGTTGACAGTAAAAATTGTCATGCATTTTCAATAGATGAAAGATAGAGAGATTAATAAATCTGACGAGCTTTCAGTTAGACTGAAATCAGATTGAGTGTTTACCTGAAATATCACTAACATAACATTACTAAGAATGATATTTAACTACAAAAGGTGAATAGTTGATTTTGAATCAATAAACTTTTTATAGAGTTGTGAACGTTGAACATGAAAAGGACATGGATTATGTGGAAATACAAATGTGTTTGTTACAAGTTGGAGCTAGGATTTAACATTTGCATCCAGTACGTCAAAGGTGGTGAAACTCTAAACCAAAAATCAAAGTTCAAGAAATTCAGTAGCATCTACACAAAGTACACAAAGGCAAGGCGCGCTTTATTCAAACTAGCTCCTTTAATCCAAAACAGTTATACATCTTTCCTGGAAATAACTTTTAGTCAACTGAGAAACTACATCATTAATGCTGAATCATGTTAACGTACTGATGGCCAGATTACAAGCACTATAATGCGCAAATTCATCAGTGCTGAAAATCTATCAGTCAAGGAATTTAGTATGATTTTTATTTTCGATGATATTAAAGAATCAAGAGGATAATGTAATGACTTCCATCGATTGATGGATAAATAAACTTTATGAGAAGAACAAGTAAATCGATGCCGACGTAATCTTGCTTCGTACTTCTGATAGAATTTTTTTATACAAAAATCCTGTTATAGTAGCTACCTGGGGAGCAGCAACAAGAAGCATCAAACTCTACGTAAGAAATTGCCCTTTCCAACTGTACGACAGCTGTGTGATATACGTGCAATATATATAACCAACAGTTCATCTTTGTAATGAGGCATCCATATGACGTGCCACCTTTCACGTAGTACATACTAGTTTTAATCCCAATAATCCTGTTTTTATGCACCAATAGTTTGTGTTATCCCGTTTCTACAACAAAAATTTCGTTATAACGTGTTGATCAAACTGGGAAATTGTTTACTGTAGTGGATATCGTAACATTTGTAAGTATTTGATCTTGCCTATAACTTATGGTTATTGTAAAGAAAATATTATTATTACAATGATTGACTTTACAATACACTGAATTCTTATATTAAACCTTTTACTAAATAATAAACAATTACAATTATTGTAATCAACAATTAATAAAATACAACATTAAAAATGATTATTTGTGAAATGGAAATAAAAACTAAAAGAAATTGTTAATATAACAATAAATTAAATCTCACTGAGAATTTGTTGATTTCATTATTTCCACTGATGATAATTGTGTAAGTAAAGTGATAATCACTTCGAAATCACATGAAACAACTGGTAAAACATTTAAGTTAGATAATAATTTATCTGAAAATATCCACTGTATAGAAGATACCTATAAAGCGAAATAAAGGAATTAATTTATTTAAATAAACTGAAACTAAAATCACTTGTTTAATGATAATTAATTCTATTAAAGTTTATAATCACCTCAAGGCTTTTATAACAGCATATTCATTTATTTAAACACCAAATATAAATACGCCACATAAATCATTAGATATGCGTGAGGGATGGAATACTGTACGGGCACCCAAACCGAAGCAGGTGGTTTTATTAGGAGGTCATTAACCGAGCCTTTGACCTAGAGGTCTAATTCATAAGGCAGTGGAGCGACGTTAGAAAATGCAGTCCAATAGTAGCCGGTGACCAACAATAGGTTCATACGCCTTTTGTTGCATCAGGAACCTAGAGCCTATGTGCACCATTGGTTTTGAACTAGGGTTTCCAAACTCCCCTAGGTGAATCCTCCATATCCACCAACCCGATTAAAGCGCCAAACATACGCTTTTTGTCCTTTAGATTTCGTAAACACCCCTTCTGCGAGGTGGTGAACATCACATGATCACAATAAATAACATTTGCGTGTATCACATTGGTGCAAAATTGAGCATATTGACCGAATATTTTTTAGAAATTATTATTTTACATAATCATACCGATATATTTTTTAGCTGAAAAATGCACAACATGACTACGCGTATTGAACTTCTTTATACATATTAAAATAAAGCCTCCAGGAAATGAAAGAGCATTCAGCGAAGAATAATTTTTATTCGACGTAATCATTTACTCAAGCTGTATATTCATATTTATAGTTGTTTGATAAATATATGTCTGTAAAAAGATAGAAAAGATTACATCATAAAGTGATTCGAGATTTTAAATATTAAGTGGAGTTGTGTAAAAATCAGGGGGTCAGATAAGAATATAATGATGAAAAGAATTTACGGGTCAAAACTATGAAAGATAATTGTCCGCTTGACATACATGAAGAAAAACGGAAACCATAAAGGTCATAATAGTAACTGAATAATAATCATGGAAAATTGTTAAAGGATAATAATAAGTGATTACGGTTTAAATTACAAGATAGTAATTTAAAAAATAAACGAAGCATACTACAGAAGGGAATTAGCGTCAAGGAAGGATGAGCGGTTGGACGTATCGTTTTTCCGCGCAGAGTCCAGGATTGGAGTGGGGGATCACCAATGCCTCAGTAGTGCATACGTTTTTGATCCGACCTTACTTCGACCCAGTTCCTTCGATTATGTGGATTATTTTAAAGGAAGACTCCTTTAGAGCGACGTGTCCAGAGTTGATTAGGTGCTCCTGTATTGAACTAGTGACTGTTTCGCATTCTCGTTTGAAAAGCCACGCCGGGTATTGTTCTGAAATCAGTTTGGGAAGTGACCAATTTGACCTGTCCAAAAAGAGTAAGTACATTTATAAACGCATATTGATGTGACCTAAGACAAAATTTTATCCGTGGATGGTAGGCCCGTCTGAATGTACGAATGTACAGCTTAAGTAAATGATTTCGTCGAAAACATTTCATTCGCTGAGTTTTCCTTATTTCTATTCAATGGCACAATGGGTTATTTTGAGAAAAGGTTTACTTCATTGAATGTACAGACAAACATATTCAAAAATATTTTTTTAAATGAACATTATTAAAAACGTACAGTTTTTTGCAAACGTTGAGCTAATGGTTCAGCCTGCCCAGGTGCGTTTAATCTTTGAATAAGACCAGCTAAATCAGATCTTAATAAAGCAATAGAATGTGTTCCACGATATAATAAATCCATAGCTTTACCAATTGGTTTTGTATTTAAAAGACATGTAGCAGAAGCTACGGGTGATTCCGATGATAGATTTAAATAAGATAATTCTGAAGGTGGATATGTACGTGTCGGTGTAATCATAGTATCGAATGCCATCCGAAATAAACCACCAGATTTATAACGTCGAGAAGCCAATGAAGATGCACCAACAGATATTATATTATGCGAGGAAACTGAATTTTTTAAAGAAAAGAAAGAAACAGACAAATGAAGACGAAATCAGAATGGAAAATTTCGAATAAATTGGACATTTGGAAAAACCAAGAAATCTTTATTTTTATAAAATCTGGCATATAAGTAGGCTGATTTGTCGTTTGACTATAAAAATAACATACAAAATAAGTTGTGGCATAACATGACAACAAAAGACGGAAAAATTAATAAAACGAGGACAGAAATGGGGTAATAACTAACTGAAATGAAAATCTAAACATGAGAAATACCATATACAGGGAACGAATGAAATCAGAAAAAGGAAAATCATAGAACGTGTCAACTCTATATTCACAGTAAAGTAAAAAAACGAGTGTAATTGACACTATTTTTAGTCATATCACTGAAAGTGATTTATACTCTAGAGCTTAATTCGTAAGGCGCATATATATCTGGTGCCCCCTTGTACCAATATTTATGTATTCAAATAAATAAATTCTAAAATAATATATTAACGTTAAAATTTATGAGCAATCGTCAGTAACACATTCACTTTCGTACACTAAAAGATATTGAGGGAATATGTCTATAATCTGGCTGATTAATTAACGTTGCCAACTAATAAATAGCAAACAACAGATTTATACTTTTAGTGAATTTTTCGTTCAAAACAGACACATTCTAGGTCTAATTTCACAGTGTATCTCTGTTATAATTTCTCTTATTGCTTAGTAGTTTCGGACACTTCACTCGACAAGTCCCCAAATCTCAACACAGTTGAACAGGAACGAAATTATATTCCAAATAGCAAGGGTAGATGGAACTAGGAATCACAATGACAGAAACGTTAGTATATTTACAGTTTTTGCGTAAGAAGATTCTAAAATCTTCTCCAAGTGTCCACTAGTGCTGATTGTATAAGAAATAACCAATCAGCGTGCTACACCTTAAACCTGTATGGAAATACTTTAATTAAATCTATATTCATGTGTTCACTAACTCATCACATTGTTTTACTTCTGAGATAACGTACAACTGCGTCAATTTCTAAACTTAAAAAATAAACACTAGTTCCAATAAGAATAATTAAGTTCATAATAAATAATATTAATTGCTCTATAGATAAAGATCACGTTATAAATAACACTACATAATAAACAATAATAATTCTTTTTTTCACACAAGTACCTAAAATATTTTCTACCTTCAGGATAATAGAACACTAATTAACTATGGTAAGATACAGTCAATGTATTAATTTACAGTTTAATGTATAACATCGAAAATTTCCAACTATTGATCAACCTCATAGATCTAATCTACAATTATCTATATGACTTAAGCTAACATTCAATAATTAAGAGAAACTTATTTTATTTCGGTAAACATCTCAAACAACATATATCAGTATTACTGGAATTCAACGAGTTATCTTCTCTTTCCAGAATTAAGCAAACGTCCTAAGATATTTTTTTCTTTAAAAACTAATTACACAAAAATCAAGGTCTATTACATTTATCATAACTGACCACTGAAATTGAGAAAACACCCAGATTGAATTTTAAGAAGAAAATATCATTACTACCATTTAATGTTGTGTAATAATCTACAATGATGTTTACATCCCAACAAAATAGTAACTCAGAAATTATAACAATTAAAATAAATCTACATCTACTGATCAAGTATAAATGACATACTGAATTTATGATAATGAATACAGTACTTACTTGTTTATTTGTGAATAATCAACTTAATGATTCATTTCTATTATTATTTATAATATGAATTAATTCATTAACAAATGTAGATCCACTGCATCAAGAAATATATTTTAAACCTTAACTATTCTAAGAAACCTAATGATAATGTTCATGAGTTCAGGTGCTGAAAACAAATTGAGTCCATCATCTAATGATTGACAGTTAAATATTAAAATCCTGCTGAATTATATCATTATGCCTAGCATAATAAACAACTATTTATTAGGCTAAAAATAAGAAAAATGAATAAACAAAATAGTTTCAACTTTAAATATCATATAGTCTTACTCATTATACAGTTAGTCAATATTCCTGATCCTAATAAATATAAACAGATTCAAAAAATATAGATATATATATAAAACCCGGGAAGTAATGTGTATTAATTGAAGTCATCACTCCTGAAAATTACCCAAGCACTTTCTGGAAAAGGTGAATACTCAATAGTTTGAGCAGCTTCAGAATTTTCTAATATTGATATGCTAATAAAGTACCCATCGTACGATCAGACTAGTTAGTTCCGGTTTTACTTCCGAATAAATATCAAAGAAGTGAAATACATCCATGATAACTTATAATTCCATTACAGATTTTATGCTAGAAAAGTGACTGATCTGAGTGCTTCATCCATTTCTTATATATAACATAATTTTACTTTCAGACCAGAAGTCACCTGAATTATATGATGCAGATCTACACAGTTGATCGAAGAACTGAAGTTAAACAAAATCAGAGATTTCTATCACTAGTTTTTCCGTTGAAGATTTATTGTTCTGTCTACAATACTCACTTGCCTAATATATGTTTATGTACTCAAATTTCAGTGGTATCTTAACTGCGTGAGGGGTAGTGGTACTAAGGGAACGCCCAAACCGAATTAGGTGGAGTGGAGTTCGAGCCTATGAAATAACAGTTGGATGTATTCGCTTTAAGACCCCCATCCTATCCACTCAACATTATTGAATAATGTAGTAACATTCTGTAGGGATCCAAAATATTGCTTAAAACCTATGGAATCAGTGTTTAGGCTAAATTCAATATGTTAATAACATCTGTGACACAAATCTAAACTGACTAGAATGTTTTCTCTGCCTTTTAAATCAGGTGAGAAGGTCAAAATCAAATTTAACAGTGCTAAATTATCGAAACCTTCAGGATGAAACTGAATTCCACTTTGTTTCAATCAGCGTATGATTTCTGTTCAGCTACCAATAAATGAAGAATTTGCCTTTCAATAGCAGACGTGATTATCAATTGTGTCTATTACGATAACAGCTAATTTCCAAGAACAGATGAAAACAAAACTAATCGGTACAAAGAATCACATCACAGTAGAAATACCAGTTTTAATATTATTTTTCTCATGTGATACATTATAAACTAAAAAATAACAGTAACATACTCGTCAGTCTTACCTACTTGGCCGTCTACATCCGTTAAAGCTATCTGATTCACGTGAAGATTGGTCGGAACAAAATCATAGCGAGGATTAGCACGTTCATTAGATGATTTGAATAGAGGACCTACAGCATCAGTAAAGTTTTTTTGCAAATCAAACAATTTTTTTTGAAAACATAATTTATAAAAAGTAAATCTATACGAATATGTTGTAGTGCTTGAATTGAAATAACTTTTTAACAATAATTATATACTGGTTTACGCTATACTAGTTGATTTCAACTCAGCTGTCAAAACTGATCTAAGATAAAACAAATGGAAAGTTGAATGTGAAATATGTACGGCATTGTTAATAAAAAGAGGATTATTGAAAAGTGGAATATGTTTAGTGAGTACCAGAAAATTCAGACTCAACATTTTTAAGCAGTTATGATTTACATCTAATGTTGCTCAACACTAGTGGTGCTCAAACAGACACTAGAGAAAAAGAATATCTCAACTAATCATCCAGCCATACACAACGTAGAACATGTCACATGTGCACATCGATACAAGATATCATATCCCATTAGCACAAGATGAAATTATCAAGAAAAATCCTTGAGTAGTGAATACAGCAAAAGCATTAGAGGTAGTAGAAAGTACTAGGCATCGGATCTAAGATTCGAGAAAATATGGAATAGTAGTTACGACAATCACACGGACGCCGCATCCACCTACATGGCTCAATAAACAACAAGTGTCTTTGTGGGCTGATGTTATGTAGTAGAAGTACTAATTACTTAATAGTGATTTTGGATGACATGGTCCTGATAACTTGGTTGATAAGTTTATGACCTATCATTAACTGAGATATTTACGACACATGTTACGCAAGCTCGGCCAAAGGTTACCTCAGGGCTTCTGGTTGGTTAAAACAAGAATACAGACCAAACAAAAGCACCGATCCACAAAATTGCTGAGTCTTATATGAATCAGAGGTGGATAAGCGCTAGTCGGGATTTGTGATCTAACCGTAGCATACATGGTGAGGCCATAAAAAGCAGCTCGGAGACGACTTTACAGATTCCCTTTTCTTCTAGGTCATGAATATAGTACTATTTCGTACATTTCCACTTAAATTCATTTTTTTCGAATTTTTTAAGATTTAGTTCCCTACTATTATCAACAGTTCGTATTCCAGGTTAGATCTATTCAGAAATCAAAATTTCATTGTTAAAAGTCGCTTGTATGCAAATAATAAGCCAGTAGGGATAATTGAGACACAATTACTACTAATGTGATGAGCAAGAATGATTAATAATTTGATTATTCGTTTGATAGAAATATACACCAATTTCTAGAAGATAATTTATTTGAAAAAGTGATAATCCTTAATAACGATGCACTCAAATAGTAGAAAGAAAATCATATTAATCTTAAAGTTACATACAACTGCAGAAATCCGATTTATCTATATCTAGCTAATAAAAAATAACAAACACAATCCTGAAGCCTTTTTGTTCAATAGACTGTGTTGCGCAGTCTTTACACCATCACATGTGGATATGAACTTCCACTGTGTAAAACATCATTGGAAAACCTAGATAATTAATTGCATTATGGTTGTTTAACTAGCTAAAATTTAGCGAAGTCACCGAGGATATGTATACGAAAAAATTTGCATATTAAAACATACAATATATCCAGATACACTCATAGTATCCTACTGGTATATTGAATATTTTATTACGCTATGCTAGTCAATAACCTGCATACTTATATTGTTTTTTAGTCTATATTTCGATACCTTTCTTCTATTGAGAAAAATAGCGCCAGACTGCACCAATGTATGTTTTCACTGAATTTCGTATGTCTCAGTCAATCAGTTGGTGGAGTGAAGTTTAAATCCGTTGTTAACAATAAAGACAAAGCAATAACCTGAGATGCGCGTTTTGTGTACAAAACATTTGATTTTTAATCTTTGGACGGTGAATTCGAACCTAACTTCACTAAATATAGTTTAATCAGCTGGATATCACTACTAGCTCTTACACACACAACACATCTAGACATAAATAAAGTGGACGCTTAGGAAATAAAGTACGGTCGACTTATTCAGATATATTCACTCTAAAATGGATTAGTCAAAGGGAAATTAATCTGTTAGCAATTTTCATGACACCGCCAACTAAAAGTATGCTACCTCCAGCAAAAACTGATAGTATTTTCACTGTGTTTTGTTGCTAAAAAATAACAGACTGAATTAAACAACAACAAGGTAAAACCCAGCAAAACAATATACACTCTTCTGTCAATACAAAACAGTCAATCAAAATACATGAATGCCTATTTAAAACCAGGAGTAAATGTGAATACATATAGTCGTTCCAATGTTATATATATATATATATATATATATATATATATATATATATATATATTTAGCACACACCAGTGTAATCAACTAAATTTCTTAAATTAGCTTCATACTGTTCCAATGTTTGTTTCATGCTAATCATTCGTTCTTTTCGTAGGCTTTCAATAACAGGTTTCGACTGGCAAAAAAATAACAGTGAAAAAAAGTGAAGGTAACTTTTTCACAAAGAGAAGAAATACAGAAATAAACTTTTATCATAAAAAACAAATAGTATCTTTCCTAAGATCCAGTATTTAAGGTTGCTTTTTGGTCGGTTTTCATTTTTGTTGCCCAGAACAATGAAACAACATCCAATTTCAGAAATACAGCATCACTAGAAGTATCGACCAGAATTAAAATTCGTAACAACAAGGATTGAATTACGACAAAACTTATACGGAAAAACAGCTGTAAGTTGGAAAATGCTGGAATTTCTGAATAATTTTTGGAGAGAAAGCACATCGTAGCCTAGATATCGTTGGGTCTCATGTTATGACAAAGTTGTTGCCCAGAAAGCAGGATATAAAACACGTCTTGCTTTGATCATTTATTTATCTCTAATAAGTTCTTTCCTGACTCGATGTGACTTATGATCCGAACAGATGTTGTAAAAGTTGGAAATGATTTTCCGAATTATTAATTATAATTTTGCTGTATAATAAGTTACTAAATTACTATGCATATATATTCCTTTTATCATAAGCATTCGGCTAACCTACAAAGTACTGTTGTACAACCTAATATTTCTTATTTGTTGCCAGTCTATTATTTGCAGTCTCTCCTACCCATAACCACTTTATGCTTCTTTATGTATAACCGTTATTTTTCTATTTAATAGTATGATTCAGTCCGGTATGTTTGTATGTAAAATACGTGTTTTTAAAATATAAATCTAGCATAGAACAGGTTGACTGTTGACTTCTGAACCCAAAGACAGGCCATGATAAAAAATTGCGGATAGTAAGCCGATAGGAGCCTAGCTGTTGAATCAGATTATTAGTGCTGGACGGACGAGTAATTGGCCACGACAGAGACACCAAGCCATTGAGTAATGGTAGACACGAAATCGATCAAATTAAAACCGAGAATCTGATTGATGATTTAGCACATTATTTTGGTTAGTCGTCTATAAGACAACAATTTACATAATATCTGACCTTATAATAATGATTACATGACTTACAAACCCACATTACGAAAAATACATACGAAGTTCAAAGTAGATTGATTAATATCAAAATGTGATATAACCGTGATATAAACGAATACAAAAATGGTAAAATAATGCCTAGATTTATAAAAAAAAATACATGATATTTGTCTTCCACGAACTATATTATTTTCTGTCATCAAAGTTTATCATACATCTTGAATGTGAGTGTTTTCCTTGTTTCACCAAAATTAAAGAATGATATATAGAAACTAATGACGCACACATTTTAAACCCCAAATTTAAAACGAAACTTACAGATCCAGTTCGAGATAAAGAGTCATATATCAAATATTCGGACTGAATTAAAGTTTTTCTATAAAAAAATATAAAAAAGAATATTAATGTAAATATATTCTAAATACCTTTGATTTCTACACTAAGTTCTAGAAAAGCACACACATTCATATTGAAATTATCTTTGTGCATAACCTATGCTATAACACTTGTACAGAATGGTAGGTTACCAAAGTCTTATCTAAATCAGAGCAAACTCGCGAATAGAAATTGCAATATATGACAAGATTACTTTTAAACATTTGTGCACAACATGATAATGTAACACGGGCTCACATTATGAAAGAATGTTAGCTGACATTGCGTTTTCAATCGATATCTTCATTTTGATTGGCTCGGTTTTATAATATAGTTACAATATAATCATCACAATACTATTCACTACTAGATTACAGTTATGCACATGTACGTATTCTGTCTATAGGAAAATAGTTGATTAATACTTTAGTTCTACAAAGCTTATAACCAATCTTAGCTTGCTTATAACGTTGAAAATGTCGCTCGACTATCCAGTAATAGCTATCAATTGATTTTATCTAAATAATATATCGAAAATTATATAGATAGTTTTGATCAAGTCAAGGACCTCGGCTTCCTACAATACTTAGAATAAACGGACCTTCTTTATAAAAGAACTAATTGCAAACTGTGAAGACATTAAATTATTTCATTTTATCAAATTTTAATTTTCTGCGTAAAAATACAAGTGGATAAAAGAGTGGTTTTAAACTTAGAAATTTAAGTTGCCTTTTGGGGAGAATCCACTTTATTAATAGCTAAATATAGAAAGCGTATTACATCATTATTTATGTATATACATTTTTAACTTCAGTACCAGGCCTTATCCCTCCGAAATAGACTGAAGTTAAATTATCAAAGTTATAGATTATAATTAACGACATTAGTGATAAACATTTGTAGTAATCTGTCTTGGTCATAAATATTAGGTTATATTTCCAAAAACAATACTATAAGTCTTGATTCCATAACTCTTAATGGAAACAATGATGAAATTAAATCTCTCTGATCATTAATAGTAGCATATTTTCAGAATGACCATCTATAACTATTTATGCATTGTCTAATCAATAAAAGTAAAACATTAAGAAAAAGGGTCAAATAACTGACCTCTTCATTACATATTTTGACCATAACAAATTGACAGTGTTGAGTGAAACAAAAGCAACAAACGATACTAGTAATTTAAACTTACAGATATTCTATCGGGAAAGCATAGCATAGCTTTGATTCGCCCATAAATTCAATAATATGCATTGTCTCACCCATTGAATCTTGGAATTTATATCGTTTAGACAATAGATTATCACATACTGAACGTAATGACAACATATTAGCATCAACCTAGAAAAATAATCAAACATACGATTAATTCACAATACAAAATTCAGAATATTCATAACAGTAATATAATAGAGTGACCATGTACATATCGGTTTAATGAACTGTAAAAAAATAAGTTCTGTCAAGCAAACGACACCATCAACACAAGATCAAAGTAATTAATTAAAGTTATGAAACAATCGGAAAATTTTTAATTGAGATCCATGAAATACGTGATGGTATATTGCATATGGTATGAAATCGACAGATAATATATATATACTAGACATTCCAACACCACAAACCAATTTGTTTCTTATTTGCTTATATTAATAGATGGATTGGCATTCAAATATGTTACAAACAACGATAATAAACCAATCACCGAAAATAGAGGCTCAGTGAATAAAACACTTGTATTTTTTAACCATTAGGTTGCATATTTAAACCATGCTGTATATGGGCACCTAAGTAGTGCTACCTATTCGTACACAGAAAAAGATGAACATCAACCATAGTATAAGATTATAATTATTATTCTTTAATTTGACTAGACAGCAATTGATTTTAATTAACAAAATAATTTTTTGTAGAGATACATGAAAGGAAACAATATAGTGTAAACACTAAATGAAATACAACACATATAATTTACAATGAATAGTTGATTATCAATGTTAATAATAAAAAAATAATGTCTATATAATCACATTAGTTAAGAATCACTAAGGTATAATTTTTGTTAGTTTAACACTTCAAATTTTAATAGATTGACAAATACAACAGTTGAAATCATGAGTCAATTGAAGCTAGACTATCATGGAAAACCTGGAAACACTAGACGGCCGCTCACTCACTGAAGACAATGGCGTATGGTGACGTAATGTCGTGGATTGGTTGAGGTTAGACATTAACACCGTTGGATGCCGGTTCAGTGGTCGAACGGTTAGGCGCTCGCACGCGAGACTTATGGGTCCTGGGTCCGAATCTCGCGGTGGGTGGGATCGTGGATGTGCACTGCTGAGGAGTCCCATACTAGGACGAGACGGCCGTCCAGTGCTTCCAGGTTTTCCATGGTGGTCTAGCTTCAATCGACTCATGATTTCAGCTATTGTAACTCCTTGAGGTTTAGATGGTGGTTGGAGGTAGTCAACAGTTAACCCTGGACCCGGATTTCGTGCTACTTGGCACTCGTCAGCAAGGTGTACCTGTAATCTTGAGGGAACTGGTGCTCCCTGGCGGATTCGATCTCGTGTCACCCAGCTTCACAGTCAGAGACGTTACCACTGAGCTATCCGAGCCGCGACTGACCTCCATCTAAATCTCAATATATAGTGCCCGCAGTGTCGAGTCACCTAGACTGGTGGCCATATTGCAACATGGTCGATAGCATTCGATCTGCACTAATAAGGACTAGACAAGCATGACATTGATCACCACCCAGTGATCAATCAATTGTGATTATTGTAATTCCTAAAATCTCCACAAAACCCCTTCAGATTGACAAATAATTAATTCGACTAAGACTTTCTATGGCTTAGGATTATGCGACAATTTCTTATTCTTTCTATACGATGTAAAATTGTTTCTCTTCCCTTTGTTATCTTTTTTTACTTGAACTTTCATTTAATTGACCTTTATTAGTTTTCATATAAAATGTCCTGACAAATATATGTATGACCAGATTGTTCGAAGTATATAGCGCAAATACATCACATTTTTCAGATCAACCCCGTCTTTTCATTGTTCTATCGAAATTTATAAAAGAAACCAAATGCGTAGGACATGTGATTGATAAATCGATTTATAAAATATTAACTAAATATTATTATAAATAATAAACGTGAGAATTCCATATTACTATCAAGTGCTAACAACTGATATATTCAGAAATTTTGACGTCTACACTAGATATACTGATAGTAAATGAATAACATTTGCGTGATGATTGTACTTTTATATTGAAAAAAGGACGATCTGATTAAAATCTTATCTACCAACACGTATCTATTTTGCTTGAGGAAATAACAATAGATACTTAAAAGTATCAAAATACTATCAAATTATCTTGGAAACTTACTGAACGCGAAAAAAGCATTTCATTATGTTAACAAGTAGTAGCACATATAGAATAAATGAATTGAAAAAGAGAACATTTGTGCAAATAAATAAAGAAACCACCTAAAACAATTTCACTTATTGTTTTACTTGTATCTTACCATTGTTATTTAGGACTGCAATTGATCAGTCTTGTGTTGGCATATATGCATCCTGTGCGGATCGCCTTGATATAGCCTTAAGTCACAAGTTTTTTAAACAAAGATGGATAATGGCTAGCAATGAAAACAACAGTAAAACAACACCAAGTGAATTTAAACTCCACCTCATTGCACAGGCAGGTGGCTAACAGGAATCAGTAGCTAAGTGGATAATGCGATAGTGTTTGAAGCGAACGGCACTGGGTTCGAGTCCCGGAGTGAACATCAACTCTGGGGTGCAGGTACATCCAGATGACGAGTCCCAAATAGGACGAAACACGCGTCCTGGATTCCATCGCTAGCCGCTATCCATCTTTGCTTAAAAACCACCTAGAACAAGTTTAAAAACATTCAGTGAATTAATTTTTAATTTTCCAACACAAAATTCAAAATATCGTTCATTGTAACATTTGGATAGAGACTATATAATCACAACTCATTATTCAACACAATATGTTTAGTATATAAATCAGTAAATAAATACACTCGATTGTAACTCATTCGAGTGTATGCCCGTCTTAACAGTTCATACACAAAAGAAATCAAAAATCACTTTATTATTTTCAGAGTACTTGAGTAGACAACAGAGTAAAAAAACAGTGCATGAAAAGAGATAATATTATGCATTACCTTAGCTGCCGTGGGATCTAATGGCTTTTGTTTCCTTGATTGCACAACTATTGATGGAAAAGTCGTCTCTAAACCCTCATACTTCACAGGTATTGGAGAACAATCATCACGTAATGGGAACAGAAGAGATGAACTATCCAATAATACTTTTATTGTTGTAATTGTTTCACCGATTAAAGCGCTCTAAATAAAATCCGAAAATTCGAAGAAAAAGTAGTTAAAATCTGTTTAGTGATTAAATCCAAATAATAAACAACCAATCTAATTTTAAAAAATAGATTAATACAACTCAAAGTAGAATAACATTTAAGTAGCTATATCAAAATTTAAAACTGAATTTCACTTGAAGGACAATCATTGTAAGTCCAGTAACATATTACATAATGAAATCAATTCGCATTTATCACAGTAAAGTGTTGTGTTTAGTCTTTCATATTTCCTTTACGCATTATGAATGTCACTTATCTATAAAGTTAGTTGTTTGTTATGTAACATAAACTTCTCACAATGAAGACGATAAAATGTAGACAATATGAAATAATGTATACTATTGACAATGGTTAGATAAGTGAAATAAAAAATAAAATCACAATAACACGTTTACAAGTATTCAATTTGAGCATTCCCAACAAATCTGTAGTAATCAGTATAAGATTGTGGAGATTGTTGAGTTCTTAATTGAGATCATCAACCGATAAATGTTAGACCACCATTGAAATTCTGGGAGCACTGGCTTTCAATGATGGTCTAACATTAATCAGTTCATAATCCCAATTAAAATTCTGTGGTAAATATTTGCATAAAATGAAAAGATTAACTAACTTACTACACTTGATTTTACATCTTTAATATCAAATAAACTGAATCGTATTGAATTGTTCTCATCAATTAAATCGTGGCGTAGAAATATTGTTTTCGAAAAAATAGGATTCCGAGAGCACTAAATATGCAATGACAACAACAACACAATAATAATTATTTTGAAAAAACGGTTTTATAACTAAAATGAAGCATTAACATTAAACAATAATGTGGCACTATTAACCTATGTTACCATGGAAATTTTTATCTGTATAACTAACAGTGTTTTGTATAGGTAAATGAAGGATTGGTTTGGTACAGTATGGTGAGGTCAATGAATTAAATTTAGGTACTTCTAGAGATAATCATTTTGAGAAGTAAAAACCTCTTAAGCTCTTACATATTATCTAAAATAATAGAACCAACGGCTGGGAAATGGTGATGTTAAGAGAAATTTATCCTACTGAAATAAATGTTACGAATATGTACTAACTGTATTAACTAAAATATATCTAACCATTATCTACTAAACTATGTGATATCAACTCGTGTATGAGTAAGTATAGACAAAAAACAAACTTAACCGGATCAAGAAACAGGGATCAATTAAAAAAGTCAAAAATTCAGATACCGAAATGGTTAGGTACTCATGGATATTTAAAACAACAATTATCTAATAAAAAGATCAATAAACTTGGAAATAACAAGGCAAATTACATCACCATTTTTTTAAAGTGAAAAGTTGTCAGTAGGGAAAATTATTTGTCAAAAATCTCTCTCATGTGACCATTTTTTACTTAATTCACTAACGTCAATTAATGAACTTGTTACAAGTAAACATTTGTTGGACATTATTGCGATTATTTTACTTTGAAAAGTTCTATCAAACTAGGAACATCCAGCTTATTCCATAAGAAATTTCCATCAAAAATCAAAAAGAAAAAAGTACAAAACAGAGAGTATGTAAACACATATGTATAAGGCGATTTTATATTTAAACCAATAGCTGAGACATCAATAAGAGAAAGGGGTTGTTAAATTTCAGTTTTCTAATTATTTCAGCGTGACAATAAGAGAAATAATTAACTAGGTTCCATAAAACACATGGCCAAAATCGATATTCTAATATTGACATAGTCTTAATAATATGAATTATTAATTTGAAGTGAAGATATTTACCAATACATATATTTCTATCACATTTATTTTTTCTGGATTTAAAACAGTACTCTTTAAATATCATCAGTAAACTAATCAACCTAACGAGATATCACTTACAGAATCCATAGGAGTTCTTAAGGAATACACAGTTGCCACCTTTTAAAATTTTATTATAACATAAATGTGACACAAGTTGCTTGCTTGATCCTTCTGTAACCTCTAGATTCACAAGTATTTGCATTTAAGTTGTTCTAATTTTTAGAAGATACGAAAAAAATAAGGAAAAATAAGGAAATGGGGAAATAAATTGACATATCCCATCAATTTATCGCGGTTTATTACCAGGATAGTGACTTGTATAAACTAGACATCATTGATGAAATATTTGATGAGAACATACAAGCTTATTACACCAAGATGTGATTTTTAGTACTAAATTATCCCTAAACTTTAATACCACTTTAATACGACTGACGAAATCACATGAAATACACTGAAGATTATATGAAAAATACAGAATAAGAATCAGACCATTTTTGTCTGATAAGTCTAATATTTTTCGTTGGAAATCTATCAATTTGATTTTAAGTATAATATCACGTAAATCACAGTCATTTGGAACAGGAATATTGGATAGATTACCAGCATTTCAAAACGTTTAATGACTTTTAATTAGATTGCCATGTATCTAAGTTCATTGGCATACCTATATATCAACTAACTACTATTAAAGACTCAAAAATTGTCAAGTTTCAACAAAAATATGTGATGTAGGTTCCCTTTGGATGGTAAACACTAGATTTGCCTTTTAGATGATTCCCATTTTCACTTTTGATTACCTGCCCAGTATAATTTATTTAAGCTTTCTTTATTTAGGCAAAGGCTTATACTACTACTACTTTTGCATATATCATGGAAAGTTATTAATATGTTTAGCGAAGGATTATTTAGCCAGTTACCTTAGCACACAAACTCACTGACCAATCATCACAATGGTTTACTAGTTTATAGCACGGATGTGACACTGCTAACGAAGATGAAATACGATACTAATGGTCTATACGCAATGTTCGTAATGATCTGACGGAAAGTCTGATCAAACTCGAAGATAAAATAAAAGCACTCAGATGGCAATCAAAAACGAATTATCTTAACAAAAAACAAACTGGTTTATGAGTACTAAAATAATTCACTTTTTGATCATTTTACAGCTATTTTCATAAAATGCAGTTTGATCAACAAACAAGATTCCTACTTGTTTTTTCACTTACATGTAAAGTAAAAAAAATTAAGACAAAACGTAATAGGAAGTTACTAATCGAACAAATTACTTCAATTATCTCAGTTGCCCCAACTGGAGTCCAATTACTCTTCAGTGAAGTTGATACAGAAACAAATAGACAAGTATTAGGAAGCTCATTAGGATGTGCCATATCTCCAATATTCAGGCATTCTAAAATTGAACATAATCACAAGGTACTTTTTTAGTAAAAACAATACAGATCAGTAACAAAGCAAGATTAGATATGGAATATGAACACTTTTTTCCATAATGAGAAATCAACAAACTTCATGTTTTCCAAACTACTGTAGGATATGAGAGCTAGAGTACATAAATATCTGTTAATTTAAAAATTGATCGAAACATTTTCAACAACTCCATGCATTCAAGTAAGTCTCGGAATAGAAGTCAGTGTCGACCCTTCTGTAACTTTCTTTTACTTTCTTCATAAAAGTAAGAGTAAATTCTTTAACTTAAAGAACCCTTTCTGGTTGTATTTTTCTTAAATGAGTCCCTATAACAATCTGGTTCAAGCTTTTTCATGGAAATATCAGTATATATATACTATGGCGGTAGCTTCGCACCATTGTTCTATCGACCTGGCGCATATACGAATTATCTGAACCTGCGGTTCCTCTCGTACTGGAGAAGAGGCTACATCGAAGCACGGCAAGACTTCCGGGGCTCAATAGCTGTTTTTGCGGTTGTTCGTCCTTGGTTTTACTTCCTGTCTGGTGATTGCTGACCACCTATGTACTACATAGCAATGATTGATTATTCCTTTCTCAGTTGTTAGGGTCTATTTACAGCCTGAACATGGATATTTATTCAGGTTATTTAGGGAGTTTTTTATTTATTGGAGTTTTAATTTCCATTATAGGTTAATTGTATTCGGGATGACAAGGTAGGTATTAAGCCAGCCCAATGTCTTATAAGTCTTGTTATAGTCAGTTAGAGGACAGTTGTAAAGGGCTTCAATATTAGGTCTATTTTGATGGTCGTTTCTGTAATGCCTATTCATTTCTTTAGTTAAAGCAAACTTTCTATTGCAAATTTCATTTTGATACATGTGATTAAGTCGGTATTTTCCTATTATCTTGGAAAAATATTCCTGGTATGCATAAATTTTAACCTTGCTGGGCTGGTTTATCTAGTTTTTAGGTAGTCGTTCGCCCATTTCCCCAATGCCTTGATGTAGTTATCTTAACCAATCTTTAGTATGGGCTTTTATATTTTTGCATGGATTTTTAAAGTTGCAATTTGAAGACTTCATCATCAGATTATTTGGTCTTTTGTGTGCAGTATACGATAGATTTAGTCTCGTTTGCATGATTTTATTGGCTGTTAGGCAAGTTTATTTTAAGTTTAAGTTGTTCGACAGTAAATTATTTTCTATCGACTATACCTAAGAACATTCGTCTTACTGTGTAGAGAACCGTTTCTAATCTAGTCCAGTCTCGTTTTCTTGGTGTTATGGATTCTAGTCCTTAAGTAAGAATGAGTATTATTAGAGAATACACCAGTTTGACTTTAGTATTAAGACTAATTTCTTTAGATTTAAGTATTGGTCTAGTCTTAATCACCTCAGTTTTAGCTTTTTCTACGTTATAGGTTATAGCGTTATTTGGGGTTCCTTTGTTAATTATAGTGGAGCCAAGGTAATGGAAGGTTTCTACTTTCTATATCTCTTTTTTGTCCATATTGACAGTTGATAAGCTGTCCTTCTTATTTATTATCATAACTTTCGTTTCGGAGATTGATATCTTCATACCAATGCTAGTTAGGTGCTGTTGTAGGTTGTTTAATGCTTTAGTAGCCTCTTCCGTAGTATTAGTGATTAGACACAAGTCATCAGCATATTTTAAGTATTTAATTATCTAAGTCCTATTATGCTGATCTTCTAGAGTTATCCCTTTTGAAGTTTTATCTATAGTTTGTCCTAATATATTTTAAAAGACTAAGTTGAAGATAGCGGGACCTTCTTTACTGCACTGCCTGACTCCCATATACATTGACAAACTTAATTATGTGTTCCTTAGATAACCCTTAGGGTTATCTAGTAGTTTAGCCATACGGGAGTTTATATTGTTAGATGGGCATGTTTTAGCTAATGTGTCTAAGATTCATCATTTAGGTATGGTGTCGAAAGCTTTAGTTAAGTTCATAAAGGTTAGAAATATGGTACGGTTTGTATTTAAAGCAGTTTGGATTATTTGCCTTAATGTTGTTATTGCATGGGTTGTAGCTAAGATTCTCCCAAATTGATTTATTGGAAGTTAACTATCATGAAGGACCGAAAACTGAACAGTGATCCATTAAGAGAATCGTATTGTAGCACAAAATCAATTTTTCTCCACATCTCTATCTATACATTTAGTTCAAATGTGGTAAGAAATGAAAGATCAATTTCTACGTCAATCAATAACTGAATTTGATGGAATGATGAATTAAATAGAACGATTGAGTCTACATATATGGACCTACTAACAGTAGATAAATTTCTGTAGCAATCAATCTTCAGTTGCACCAAAACGTTCAAAACACTGAGAAGTTACAAACAACCTGAATAATATCTAGATAACGTCAATTGATAGCTACAAAGACAATATATATTGTTTACCCAGTCAAATAGAACGTCTTAAAAGTGGTAAAGTGATATAAAACACTCTTTCAAAAAATTTTAAAATGTACAAAAATTGTTTGCATCTCAATAATTATTATCTAATTTTACTGAATATACGTAGACCATCTAAAGAAGAACAATTAGGTATCGATTGGGATCCCTGGTTTCAAGACCACTTACGAAAAATAACAAAAACTAATCACGAAGTTAAATGCATCTTTAAATGCACTTCGTTAATTATGACAATAGATCAGTAGACTTACTCAGCATAACTTCAAGTCCCTCGTCATTCAATGAACCTGAAATGAAAATAAACAAAAATTAGTTCATCGATCCACACAATAACATCGCCTCATAAAATATACACAATTACCTTCCTCAACAATAGTTGGTGGGGTAACTGAATTACTAGAAAATCCAGCTTCTAGTGGATCAGATCCTGTGATTCTCCGTATTTCATCACGAAGCAAAGTAAAACGCCGTAACCTAGGTGCCAGTTGTGCCTTGTTAAGGTGATGACACCACTTCTCTGCCTCATCTTCAGAACGAGCGACAAATACAAGAGGTTTATCACCGGAATCGAAATCTGTGCAAGTCGTTTAACTCTGAACCATAAAGTTACCTAAACGAAATGAGTAGGATATTTCTTCATCTCTAGTACGCGACACAGTGAAACGCTCTAACAGTACCACACCTGAGACTTCATTGCTCGTTCTATCGGGAGAACGGCAAAGAATCAAAATGTTTCCTTTCAACCTGCACCAGTGTTCAGAAAAAACTGGAAAGTAATTTATAGCCAATCAAAACTTACTACATCCACGCTTTAATCGCGAATCTACTTTTTGTTTCCAATAGAGGATGCCTTCAAAAGACGAATTCCAAGAAGGAGATACACACCCAAGTTCCTTTGAATTGACTCTAACAAAACGCGAAATACGAATTATGAATACAATAGATAAGTAATAAGATCACATGAGTTTATACATAATAATAACTGAGAGAAATCAGAATACTATGAGCCATAACATAGAAGCCCACAACCGTGAACATGTAGTCGCAAAGGTCAAAAGCCGTTTTTAAGCAATTACTGTGAGACATAACAAGTTCAAACAGACAGTTCAAACCAGAAATCATATTAAAAATGCTGTCACTTCCTATCGCAAACAACAATCCCATTTAGAGATCTTCAAATAAATCATCACTTAACTGATTAAAGAATGAGTTTAATGTTTATTTTAATTTTACTTTAGGTGTCTCGAGCGTCTTTAAGGGATAGAGCGACCAAACAAATACGAGTATTTAAGCTATCTAGACTACTAAATTTTATTTTTGACTTGAAATGTCAAAGTAACAAACCCCATCAAGATATCATACGATAATTAAGTGGTGAAACCATGAAAACACGGAACACGCTAAAATGAACTTTAGGTTCCCAAACTATTTTTCGGAATCAAATAAGCAAGATACTTCAGGAAGTTTGGATATTATTTATGTTTGGTACGAGTAACAAGATACTTAGAGTAGAGACCAGTAACTTCAGCTATCAAAACTCTTTTAGGATGAAATATATAAAAAGACAGTTAAGTAAAGGTTAAATGGCTATAACAAACTCATACTGTGTATGACTGATAAACATACATGACATGAATGTAGTTTTAAACAATTTTAATCAGCAGTCATAACTATTATAAGCAACCTGACTGGATAAAATAGTTTTCCACAGTGCTAAGATAAACAAAAAGCTTAATTGTTGAAGGCTATCTTATGTTTCCATTTTACTGTTTCCTGATATTTTTAAGCTTTCTGATATTCAAAATACCATACATTTTGATGTAGCTAAACAATATTTTATAGGTTCTTAACGTCAATTACCTGATCTTCTCATTCCATAATACTAAAACCGTATGGACCTTATATAATATGTCTATTACAAGTCATAAAACATCAAGTGGACTCTAACGCCTTCTATCACTGTTGGTGGCTGTTTTCCCTCTTCTTAACAATTCAATCACGAGCATAAAACCTTATTGAGCTACCTTCACAAATATACTTGGAAAGAATTCCGCAGTTGAAGTAAGCTTTCCATTAAAACTATATGGTGAGTATTATGAGGTAAAACTTGATACATACAACGCAAAATGTAGTTGGTGGACATTTCGCAACTTCATCTGTAGCTCAGTCACAATTTTGAAAGTCGCTCTATTAGAGCAATTTGATGTAACAAGACAAAACTATTAGACATCCAGACAAGCAGACTGATGTTCACTTTACATCATATTAATCCTTTTCTACGCAAAATATCGCTGAAAGCGTGAGTACAGCACATAGATACTAAGTTACAAAGTAACTGATGCATGGCGGTCAAGGTCGAATGAAATGGTATATATATATATATATATATATATATATATATATGATAAAATTTATAACTACATATACCTCATGTTTTAGCCATATTCTACGGTCTTCAGGCCTTTACAAGCGTAAATAATGGACAAAGTACACTTGAAATATGGGACTGAAGTATAAGAAATGGAACTTATAAGCTGGAAATTGGAAGTTCTTGTTTCGACCTTATAGTCACCTGAGAAAAGAGAAAAATTAGATAATAAGCTTAGCTGAAGGAAGTCTTCCAGAATATGTACCTCCTTGTTTTAAGAACAATCAGCCAATCATTTCAATAAGACGTTCTTTAAAACTAAATCCTACACTCTGTATTTTTGCTACAAGAGTTAAAGTGCATTTATATGCAAACATATCTATATCAGTCCTAGATAATGAACTTTTAGGCACTTTTTAAAGTAAAATTGATGAGTTAACGGGATGTAGATTATCACGGTTAAAATGGAACACATTATGATAAAATCCCCCCTGAACTTTCTTGAGGTTGGGAATAAGATTTATTGTTTTCATCACGAGCTGACATCAGCTATAATGACAAAATGGTATTAAGCTGAATGAGTGAATGAAATTTGCACCCATAAATTATAGTCTCGCCCTTAAAGTCACTAGTTGAAACTTTATGATTTTGTTCTAACCGGTTGTACAATTCCTAGAGCCCAAGCAATGGTTAGAAGAAGACCAGAAGTGTGTGGAACTCCACCACAAGCCCAAGCATAAATGAGAAGTTAGTCATCACTCGACCAGATGTTTTACGGCTCTTCAAAAAAAGACGTACAGATTAGGATGAATAATAATACGGGGAACGGAGTAATTACGCCCGTTGAGAACTCAAGAAACCATTCGAATATAAACCTTAAAAATTTCAACCCAATAATATTCCAACCCCCTAAACAAGCTGACTATAACTGAAAAATCCTACGTCATTACGCAACCCATTAACTAAAAAAGTATAAATAATGTGTTTGCAACACAAGCCAAAATGAGAATGTTTAGAAAATTCTGAAAAGGAATCACATGTAAGTACATTTTGGGTTATGTGACGCAAGCTGTCATAAGCTTTACTCAAAAAGTGGTTGGCCTCCCAACGTTAGGAGCCTAGGCTTAAAAATACGAACCTGAGCTCCCAAGTTTAGGGAAACTCCCGAAGTCAAATGACCTTCACATAGCTATAGCTATGTAGTTGTAAAAAAAAACAATCAATAGAAAAACTAAAACCTGCCCGAGTATGATAAATTAACCCACAATTATAAAGACTGTTATTGATCAAGCATAAAATATTTAAAGGTAATTAATGTATATATATTCGAACTAATCACGAATCGGTCGATTCGTGAACCGAACGAATTCCATGATCCTCTCTCATATATATACGTCATCCATACATAAAGATGAGTGAGGTGAAGATAAAATGTCATGTTTTAAAAAGACATGAATAAGACAACAAACTTAATTCCAAAGACATATCAAACGGACGCAAATATCTATTGCTTTTCAAGGTCGAACGAAGCTTACCGAAATACGCGGCCAGACTTTATTGGAAGTTCAAATGGTTCAAATGGTTGTGGACGAAATAGAAGAAGCTTTCGCTTAACAGGCTTCCGTGTCTAGTAGCAGGGGATCACCAAATCCTCCAGGCAGGAACCTAGGTATGTTAACAATAAAAGAAGAAAAGAAATTGGCAAATCATAATGTGATGCTGTCCTTGGTCCTTAAGAATAGGTCAAGTTGCCTCTTGAAGGACTCCTGAGAAGTCGCTTGGACTAGCTCGGCCAGCAGCGAATTCCAGCTTTTGACAACTCTTAAGGAGTAGAAGTTGTGTCTACATTCCGTCTTGCTATGTTGTGTTTCCAGTTTCTAGGTGTTACCCCTTAGGTTATTATTCGAACTAAGCTTAAGTAGGTGTTTAAGAGGATGTCCAGAAGTGTTAGGAATACTATAAGCCATTAGTAAATCACCTCTAAGACGCCTATATTCTAGTGGGTAAAGGTCTAGTGAACGGAGGCGTTCTTCGTAAGGCTTAGATTTGAGTCCTCGAACTGATTTCGTGGCTCGCCGTTGGATACGCTCTAAAGTGACCTTGTCCTTTTGGAGTGAGGGGGGAGTACTATGTTTCCGTACTTTAAATGGGGACGGATGAAACTATTGAAGGTTGTATGGAAAGTTCGTCCGTCAAACTGTCCAAAAATGCGCTTCAACGTTACCAGTGCAAGGTTTGCTCGGAAGGCATTTTTGTCACAGTTAGCGTAAGACTTTAAGTCATGGGGCACCAGGACTCCTAAATCTTTTTCTACTTGGGATACTACTAGAGAGGAGTTTCCTAAGTTGTAACTGTAATTTGCGACATGTCGCAGATAGACTACTTTACACTTTGAAGTGTTAAAGGTAAGTCCGTTATCGTCTGCCCAACTTTGAAGTCGCGTCAGATCCTCCTGAAGTGCCTGTTGCGTATCTCTCTCCAAAGTTTCACGTGGTCGGCAAAAAGTAATAAGTCTGACGTTACCTGTTGAGGAAGATCATTTATGTAGATCAAGAAGAGAAGAGGCCCTAGTACTGAGCCCTGGGGGACCCCACTAGGACATTCCATAGCCTGAGATAAAGTGAAATTAACCCTAACCTTAAAGTGTCGATTTTACAGGTATGAAGTAAGCCAATCGATTAGAGGTGGTTTGATACTTAGTCGTTTGAGCTTGTTGATAAGACACAAGTGGTTAACCTTATCAAAAGCTTTTGAGAAATCAAGGTAAATGACGTTGAAACCTAGCCCTAATATGCACGGTTACCATTTCTGTTCTGCGTTCACACAACAAGGACAATCTAATGAAATGTGATTTGGTTTCTAAGCGTTCGAAACGTATTTTAAAATTGTTCACCGATTAAACCGTTTCTTCATATTTGAGGAAAAACGAACGGACAACGTTTACTGCCAATGAATTATGACTATACACTAGTAGCCACGGTATTTGGATACAACGAAAGAGTAAGTTACCTTAGGCACAAACAGAACGGCGACTTCAACGTTAGTCGATTGGTAATGCCATTCCCTTCGAATTCGGATGGGCTCACAATCATCGATACAGATTACCTAAGCTGATGATCTACACTGCTGAGCAAGACGCTGAATTAAATATTATATAATGGTGATTAAATTTTCTGTAATCTCAAAAATCCGTTAACTACTATGATCATGATGAGAAATCTGCAAACCTATGTTTGCCCACCAACAATTGTAGAGACCAACATGGCCATCAGGCGAATCAAGAGCAGAGAAGCATAGGCGGCACTGAACGCAAGCCTAGCAGTAACTGCAAAGATTTCCACATTTTCTTTGACAAGATCTGATCTCTGCAGACTCGATGACGCTTCAAAAGTCAGAATATTTTTAAGAACACTTGGGGGGATAGAACATGAACGCTATATAAACTTCAATTTCCGAAGAATTCACGAGACTTTAGTTTTGATGAAAAAATTTAAACCCTGTCTAAAATCTTTGGAGAACAATCATCTCTATATATAATATCCGTTACCGATGCTTGAAGATAACGAAAGAATCAGAAGATGACTGGGTGAAACATGCAGGGATTGTGAACTGAGAATCTGAGAGGTTCAAATTGTCTTCCATGACTGCCTAGCATTTATTTGTAGCCTGCATTCACTCGAGGACGCTGACATCCGAGCGAGAATCCTAAGCAAGCTAGAACACTGCCCCAACATGACGCCGCAGGAAGTAGCTACCAAATGCCAAAGGTTAGTGAATCTGAAGTATGATGCCTCGATGGTAGCGAACTGTAACCGGTTCCTTCACGTCAGTGCAGTCGAGAAAAAAGTCTCACGAGGTTTCAACACTCAGAATTATCGTAATGACAGCAACAAAACATAATCCCACATGCTGTTTATGTGGCTGTTGGCACTTCAAAAGGTTTTGTCCGTTTAAGAATCATCGTTGTACTACGCGTTCAAGAAAAAAGAAAAAAGAAAGTCATTACAAAACACGGAAAGCTGTCAAACGAAATTGTATTATAAAAGATTGAAGCCACAAACAGCTAAAGCAACGGTAGCACTTCACAAAGCCGACTTCCATAACCGTAGAAAGTATGTTTATCTCAAGATTAATGGGTATGGTGCCTGCTTACAGTTAGACACTGCCTTCCATATAACGCTTACAAGCAGGAGAATGCGGGTAAAATTGGGAGACCGAGAACATAATCAACACATCAATCAGCACAGATTGAATCTGGGGGAATTCTAAACACTGCTAATGAAATTCCTTGTTAAGTCACAGTCACAGTCCATGAAGAAGGGTGCAATATTTCTGACAGACCGTCCATCATCCGACTTATTGGAGCTTGATTGATAGAAAGGTTGAAGTTTACAGACCGCACCATAAACCCGATCTGCGACAACGTCGGTACGTGGAAAGTTCAGAAGGACATATTCAAAAGAACTCTGGTCAAAGGGGGAGGAGAGAGTATCCAGAACGAGTGTTCATACCGGAAGAAAAGTCACCAGACGAGTGTATTTTAGGAAGAAAGTCCGGACAATACTTAACAGCATGTTGCCGCCCAGAAAGACAAATAAACCCATGAATGAGTATCGTACGGTCACTCGTGGCTTCCAGGTGGGTTAAAGGGTACTTGTCAAATCGTATCAAGGTAATAGAAAGTGGGAATCAGGTGTCACAGAACATCGTATCGGAAGTGTACTATACCTGGTACGGAGAAATGTCGGAACGTGCTTAAGACACATAAATCAAATTAAAAAAAACGGCAGAACATTGGTCCCACAATGGCGACTTCCGTTTCACTCGCTTGTGGATTCATCTCGAAAAACCCTCATGAGCACTAATGTAAAAGAGATAAAAGACGCAAGGGAAAAACTGCATAAACTTCGAGAGTGATGGGCTGCAACAGTAATACGGTAACCAAGTTTCAGGTAGATCCGAGGAAAAAGTGTTACACAACAGCCTTAGAAGAAGGAAGTTGTTGGGGTGACCCGGAAAACTTCTCACAAAAGACAAGCGAGAATCAGGAAACACTAAGAAGCATTTCATCCAATCAGCGTTCACCAGAAGTTTAGCCAGAACCATTAAGAAAGTGAAAAGTTACATGTAGAATTTCTGATTGGCTGATTACTATACTGCTACTATGTTTAGTAGCACTCCGGAATTTTCGGAAACCCAAGGACACCTAAAGTATTATAAAAACCTTACATTTTCCGTAATAAAACGAACCTTTGGAGTAAAGTGCTTCTCTCATGATTTGCGCCTTTTCTCTCGTGTTCAGGTCACTGTGTAGTTCTAGCTTATGGGTCATGAGAATAGCTTAGGAACCGAATATAGTGTTCAATTAGCAAGACTTATCAGATGGGTTGTAAATATAAAAAGAAATGATTGATCTTAACTGGCTAGCGCTTGCAAGAGATGTAGAGCGCGGCGTTCCCACTCTTGATCTTGTGCGGATGCGTGACCGAGTGTCTTCGGCGTAGTGAGTCCATTAGGACTAATGTGGTCAGCATCAAATGTCGGATACTTACAGAGCTATTGATTTCGGGGATTTATTTACCCCCACAACATTATTCTATCATACTCTAGTTAACAGTGGAGTTGCGTAGATTTTTAAATCTCCGAATATACGCAAACGTGAGTGAACCTGAGCAATTCGATGCATCTGCAGCTTAAATAACTTTAACCCAAGGGGTAGGCATTCCTTCGTTCTCACAAAGTTTTATAACCCACATTTGGCACTAGTTGTTAAGTGAAGATACTCAAGGTCAGTCTAGAGTCGCTTAAAGGTCGTCCATAAGTTGTAGTCTCATTGCTTGTGATGCTTTCTTGTAGCCTTGTTGACGTCACAGTTACCAGCCCAAGCTTTGTTGATATGGAAATGTTCTACTTATGGGTACATGGACGAACTAGTAAGTATACCGCCAAGTCGTTCATATTCCTCTAACTACGATTTCTCGTCATTTATTCTCAGAATGTACCTAAGTTTGGCAAACTCCTGAGTAAATCAGCGAAACCTATATATATTAGGTTTGAGATAGCGGGTTTTAGATTTCTGGCCCAAAACTCATTGATCCATATGCCTGTAATGCATCTTGGCGTTATAATTGTTATTAGTTCATGATGAAAATCCTTAATATAACCTCCAACCTCAGCTTTTAATTAAATCTCGATTCTGCTTTCTCACACTAATCCACAACCCTTCTTAAACCGTAGTACACTGGTAAAGTTTCTAAAAGTCACTTTGACGTACGTAGCTCAAAGGTTTTTTATAAATTATAGTCTCACCTGCCATGTACTTGATAGAGTAGTTACCAGACAGAACTAATAAATTGTTGGTTGTGGATTTCTTGTCACCGTCTCATGAGGAACATTTAGGCCAAACATCTAACTATCTCCCCAATTACAGTCGTTAAGGGCGACAATGCACAAAGTTTCTTGAATTCATCAAACTTTCTTTAGGGATGCGATCTTTATTCCCCTCAAGTTCTTCATTTTCCCCTTTCTTGTTTGCTTGGGATTGTTCTGTCTTAAATTTTAGACCGTATTGGAAACAGTAATACACCAATTTCCTATTCGCAAGCTTTCTAGTTTGCCTTTAGAAATTTGAAGTTTGTATTCTTCAAATAAATAAGCCGTATACGGTCTATCATACCGTAAAATTCACTCAAGGCTTTATTATGGTAGCACTAGATACATGAATTATAAAACAAAACCTATAGTGTGGCTTTTACGGTATCATGACAATTATTTCGATCTTGCATTTCTAGGCAATGAAACCTGTTACCTCCATCCCACTTAGTAATATGAAGCCTGACTTCGAATGAATTAAGTTTTACTGTTTTTGTCACCGTTCAAGGGACTTTAGGTGCACCGTTGACTTGATTTTACACTGTTGAATTCTCTTGTTGACACGAATTAATTTTTCTGACTAATAAACCATTCAATCTGTGTATCTATTTTTCATGTTACACTGATGGTATTACTGGAACGTTTAAGTAATTACAACTACTGTTGCATGAAGTTATTGCTATCTGGTATCAATGGGAATATTCTTGGCAAACCACGATCATTTCTTTAGATAGGTATTTTATCTACCAAATTCTATTTTAATTACCCAGGATAGTTTCAATATAAAATGACCAATTTATTTATCGCTCCAACTAACCATAAACCTGTTTACTGTTCCGTCAATTTCTTAGTTTCTCAGGCTTGCACAATCATGGCCCAATCGCCTTCAGTAGAGGAGTATGGTATGACAAACGATATGTTGGCCGCACATGTCAGAGACCACTTTGCTCAATTCACACTTTTGGAGTCAGGTTTACGACATCCGAATTCTTTCATGCAAGATTGTGCATACCACCAGCTTACACCAGAAACTCGCAAACAATTGATTCACTTGTACGTGTTGACCTCATTCACCTGTTTTTCCTTTACCTTGCTGCATTCAGGGAAAGTGTTTCAGATTTCTAAAAGTAGTTGCCATACGGAAGATCACATATTAGCTGATTTATTCACCTTAAAATCTAGGCATTCTTCGCGTGCTGGTTTTATCAAAGCTGATATGGGACAAATACCCACAAGTAAACCCAGTGACCGGAAGACGCGCTAAGTTAACATTGTATGTTCATACTGGGATCTTGTAGGTCGTCAGTCCACTATATCGGACCTTAGTCAATGCGACCAATATACCCATTTATCAGCGCTTACAGCAGTGACGCAAGTAGGCATGAATTAACTGTAAAGTAAATACTAATCATCCTTTGCCTTTCGCAAGGCATTTGGTCACTATATTTTGCCTTCCAACAATTCGGCGACCCACCACAGAAATGTTAGATAAATACTTCTACATAATTCAGATATACCTATCCATTCTCCGTATTCAAAAACAACTGGGATTCTCGTACGCAAATGTTTTCCACAAAATCTACGCAGTACGTCTCCTAGTTATTTTATTTATTATTTATTTAAACACAAGTATTGGTACAAAGGGCACTGAATACATATGCACCATACAGTTCACTTGGTTTGTGTGTGGGTTGTGATATTGCCCGGGTGCCCAAACTGAAGCACGTGGTTTTCTTGGGAGACCACAGCCATAGCCTCCGACCTAAAGGTCTGATCCACGAGACAATGAAGCAACATAAGAAGCTGCAGTCCCACAGTAGCCGGTGATCAATAATTGGTTCATACGCCGTTTGTCCCCTCAGGATACTGGAGCTCATGTGCATCACTAGTTTGAAGTCAGGGTTTTCCAACTCCCCTAAGTGGATCGATCGTCTGTATCCACCAACCCGATCAAAGCGCCGGACATTCACTTTTCGTCCTGCCAATTTTGTAAACAACACCCCCGCCACATGAAGGCAGTTGGTAGGACTTCCCTGACAGTGGCTGTATACGTGTGGCCAAGTGAGAGCATTTGGAGACGAAGAGCTGACTCTCTCCACACTCGGCCGCAACAGGGCATTTGTGGGCCGTCTCATAATTACGGTATGAACAAAAACCGTTGTTGAGATCAAACTTGTCTTAGAATTAGAGTGCTTAGTAAGATGGGAAGGCAGATTTATTTTATACATTTAAAATAATGATGTTCTATGTTAACGTTGAATTTGTACAACTAAATGGATATTGCGCTGAGTATTTTCAAATTCGCTTTCAAATGTTTTGCTCCTTGTCAATCTTTAAATTCCCATAAATGTCTTAGCTGGTTGGGGATTTGTCGAAATTTGTTACCTATGGTGAAACTGTCCTATCTGTTCGACTCCCAGACCAATAATTTCATCCAAGTGTATGAGGTAATCATAGTTTGAGATCTGAATTCAGTTCACTAGATGCTACATTTTATGAATCGAGTCAAATAAATCTATATTTTAACATTTCAGTGTAATAGTTTTACTTGGTATCTTCGTACCATAATCAACTGTAAAAATGAATATAATAATTAAACTCATTAATCAAGTACAGGTTTTGCACTATTTTGAGTCACACTTGTTGTGTAAAAGCTGATAATAGTTGTTTGCACGAACTGAAGTACAGTAAGTTTTGGACTTGTGATTTGGTAACTAGAAGCTCAAAGCTACGATTTAACGTATGACTGAGGTGCTTTTCATGAGGACAGAAAAAGTTGATATGAGTTACTTTGTACTTTATTCCACGCAATCATTTCCTTACGTAATCCAAATATATTCTTATAAGATTGTTCAATACTTGTCAAAACGTCTATTCCGTAGACAACGTTGCAAACTGACTGGCTATTTTGTGACCTTCATTTTCAGGCTTGACTGAATATCCATCATTATATAATTATCTTAATTCACCTTGTATGCTTATGTGCAATTAGCATTTATTTTTGGCTAAGGACCTCGTGATATCATTCATCTTGACAACTGTCAGTGTAATTTAGTTCAATCTTCCTGCTATTTGTTCACACCATATTAAGTATTGTTGTGATTTGGTGACAATTCATCCAATGTATTATTGTGAAACTTTGTACCAATCACCCATTCCACATCTTTCATTTACTTCGATTTATCATTACATACAGATACTACTCCCTTGATGAGAGTTTTTTACGTGAATTTGTTGGCAGAAGGTTATCAAATAAATCCCGACGGGAATTATCTGATATTGCAGAAAGATGTGAACTTCAACTAAGGAGTTGTAAAAGGCAGTTTGATAATTTGTCGTGTGTCGCCCGCCGGACTGAAGATTTACCTGGTCCACTAACAGATAATATAAAGAATTGTTTTCTTCTACCTGAATGGCTTGCCGAATGTTATGCCGCTGTTATATTTATTGCAAGTAACAGGTATATTTACACAAAAACTTTTGACAACTTAACTGGTTTTGATATAAAATATGATGCAACAGTGTTTCATTTGCAAGTACAACTTATTATGACAGCAGTAAAAACGGTTATAAAGTTATATGACAGGTAATATATACATTCCTTGTTCTGTTAAGGGTTATTAGTATGTTGTATTAGCCTTATTTCACCAAACCTGTCTATCTGTTACTGCTTAAATGTGTGAAGCATTATATTTATTAGTCAGTGAGTTCTATCCAGCACTGCAGAAGAAAAAACCTGTAATATTCCTAAGGAAGCGCTCGTTAATTTTGTATTTTGTTCCATTCTTGTTCACACATTTGCTGGCGATTATAGTCTGATGTTTCCTTTTTCACGTATTTCGTTTCTGTTAAGTTTCTTAGCAAGGAGATAGTACGAAATCATTTGAGTTAGTCAGAATTGTGCTTATGAGTTTATATTGTATCGTTTATATATTGAAGGCTCTAAAACTTTGTGGTTGATCACCTCGAATAATACTGCTTAAAGCGGTTATAGTGGCCCGGAAAAAGCCATTCTTTACTCTTAACTAAACCTTTAGCACTGTTTGTCCACATGTTTTTCCAGCTTAATCTAAGCATTTCGTCCCTTCGTTAGTCTTCACTCTTTCTTCGATTCCACATGCTTATTTAGGACGTATTTCACTGACTTTGTCTGATAGATACTCATCTCTCTGTACATATATTTCCTTAGATTTGAAACGTCTAAGAAGTGTCTTTCATATCTTACTTTTGAGAACTTGGCATACTGTGCAGGTCAGCTAATGACTCATTGGTCAACTAGTGGTAAAGGTAGGTATAAATTTGTTTTGTTTTCTTGATAAGTTATAATTCGGTCCATTTTTTCAATGTATGATAAAAAAGGAATTTATGATTTATAGTGGATATGATGTAAGGTACAGCATTAATACAATTAACTAATCAATCAGGTACAGATTCGTATACGTGGCCATGAGCTGGATTCTAAATATGAGGGTTAGTTATGCTACCAGGTTGCTAAAACTTCAATAGTTGGGAAAAGGTATTACGACCTGCTGCTTGAAAGTTGAACGCCGGAACCATTGGGTTACTGTTCCACTTTCTCGTTATCTGACGGTCCCAGTTTATCAGAATCGTTTCAAACATCGTTATTACTTGCTTAGAACAGCAAATTTTCATTATCTAAGTTAGTCATTTGAGTGTTATTTCAAAAGTTTGGTATATACAATTTTTAATCTTAGACTCACTTAAGTGGAAATAATTTGCATTTACAGTTCTGTCGATCCTATTACAGTCAGTCAGTAACAACGTAGAACTTCGTACGTACGTACATCAGTTCGAGTTGCCACACCACATTAGCACAGAGATGCAGTGGTCGATTCAAATCCCGTAGTGGTAGAGGTAATAAGAGTATAAGCAATTATCGGGAAGATTAGTGTTTGGAGACGTTACTTAAAGATTACTATACAGTGAAATAAATTTGGAAAGAGAAAAAATGGGACATGAAGATTTCAGAAGATTAGAATTTGGGAGAACACAAAGAGTGGATGCACCTGCACTATTGCAAACGATTTTGAGCCATGTCATTCAAGGTCTCTAACCATCGGTTGCTATCATCTCGCGGTCCCCAACCAGGTAGTCTACACCTACCGACATGACTCAGATCACTTGTAAGTGACTTCATGGACTTGTGCCATGTTTTGGTTTGGCCGCCCCTAGCTTTCTTCCAACCTACTCCTATACCACTGAACATAGCACATCGAGGCAGTCGGTGGTTGGGCATACGTAACACGTGTCCCAGCCACCTCAACTGATGAAGTTTCACTACTTCGTCGATTTATTTGCCATCCTTACCTAGTACCCATTTCCTAACAACTGTGTTACTTACTCGATGGTCCCAGGATATACGAGCAATATTTCGAAGACACCTATAATCAAATACTAGTAACCTACGAATATCCTTTACTCTTACCGGCCACGTTTCACTGCCATAAAGTAGGACGGAACGAACTGCCGCACAGTAAACACGTGCCTGTTTGATAGACGGATATCTCACCTACGCCATAAATGACACAAGTTGGCAGAAGCTAGTCCAGCCTTCTGTGTCCGTGCTGATATTTCGTCACAAACCAGACCACAGGGGCTGATGAGACTTCCAAGATAAGTGAAGTGATCGATACGCTCAATTACTTCACTCCCTATCACTAGTTCGGGTGTCGATGCAACCCAATCCTGAAGCAACATTTTGCATTTCGAGGGTTAGAATCGCATCCCGAACATGCTTGCATTGTTGCTTAGAGTGGTCAGAAGACTCTGCATTTTGTCAGCGTCTTCACCAAATAGAACCATGTCATTGGCATATTCTAAGTCAACAAGTGGATCTCCCAGTAGAAGTTTAACTCCTGGAAATTTAGATAAGGAAAGTATTATCTCTAAAAGCATGTCAGCAACAAAATTAAACAAAAATGGAGAGAGTGGGCAGCCTTGACGAACACCACTTAAGGTAATCAATTCTGCTGACAGTTCACCATAAGCTCTCACACGGTTAGTTGTGTTTGAGTAGAGAGCCTTTATAAGGTTAATGTACTTCTTTGGTACTCCTTCCAGTGACAAACACTGCCATAGAACCTCACGATCAACAGAGTCGAATGCCGCCTTAAGATCGAGAAATACTACCATTGTGGGGCGTCTGAACGTATGTCTATGTACTAGGACCTGACGTAGTGTGACTATCTGATCTATACAACCATGTCCAGGTCAATAACCATCCTGGTTTTCTCTAATCTGTTCTTCACGAGCTTTAGTTGGGCGTCGATGTATTGTTGAAGCTAATATTGTAGACACTATATTAGTCAAACTGATTCCTCTGTGATTGTCACAAGAGGACTTTTGTCTTTTCTTATAGACTGGCACAATCAGTGATTGAGACCAGTCAGATGGGATTACGTCCAGTCCCCAGATTCTGCCTAAAAGCTCAGTCACTCTCACTGCTCGTACGGGACCGCTATCCTTAAAAATCAGGGATAAACCTGTCAGAGCCTGATGCTCCCCAACATTTCAGATTTTCCAGCTTCGTAAAGAGTTGAAGGACTTACATCAACTTGCCATTCAGGTAGACTGGAGATCGTGGGATTGTGTGGCTGAAGGCCGGTTGAACTGATCCTTAAAGTGTTTTGCCCATCGATCCAATCTCCTGGATTGAGAGTGAATAATGTGTCCACCTATTTGTGAGATAGTTTCACTAACAGTTGGATTTTTAACACCGGTATTCTTGACAAGTCTGAATAGTTTTCTGCTGTTGCCGCTGTCTTTTCCATCTCTATTGCTTTTGCTACCCACGATGATTGCATAGGCTTCTTATCAGTCTGCGCTTAAGCTGACTCCACTCTTCGTTATATTCAGAGCCAGATGGAATGAGTTTTAGAGCATCTATCAGTGCGGTAGACGCTGCTGAGATCCAATGCTTCTCCCTAACTTTGTGGTTTACCGTACTAGCAGATATGAATGCTGTTTCCACAGATTTTCGGATATCATTCCACGCTGCCTCGGGGTGGGCATCACATACATGGCTGCCTAACTTTTTCTAGCTGTTCCTGAACTATATTCTTAGCATGGCTATCATTAAGTAAGACCCTAAGAGGTTTACTTGCAGCGTCTTTCCTACGTCCAGTAAGACGCAAACAAATGCGCGCTCGTACTAGAGCACGATCTGAATCTAAGCATGTGCTCCAGAACGAGCGACAGTCTTCTATCGAGCCCTTCCATCAGTGGCTGATAGCGATGTGATCTATTTGGGTTCAACGTTGGGATGAATTCGGGGATCGCCATATCAAAAGACGTTTTTCCTTATGCTTAAAGTTAGTATTTGCAAGGAACAGGCGGGTATGTGAGCACATCTGCAACCGACAGTCGCCATTATCTGTTCTTTGAGCAACGACACCATAAGATCCACCTAGGTGTCTTTCCCTTTCGTTTAGTTCACCTTTTATATACTTACTTACTTACGCCTGTTACTCCCAATGGAGCATAGGCCGCCGACCAGCATTCTCCAACCCACTCTGTCCTGGGCCTTCTTTTCTAGTTCCATCCAATTCTTGTTCATTTTTCTCATGTCTATTTCCATTTCCCGGCGTAATGTGTTCTTTGGTCTTCCTCTTTTCCTTTGACCTTCAGGATTCCATGTGAGGGCTTGTCTTGTGACGCAGTTCGGTGCTTTCCTCAATGTGTGTCCTATCCACTTCCAGCGCTTCTTCCTGATTTCTTCCTCCACTGGGATCTGGTTTGTTCTCTCCCATAGTACGTTGTTGCTAATAGTGTCCGGCCAGTGGATCTGAAGTATTTTGCGTAGACAACTGTTAATAAACACCTGTATTTTCTGGATGATGGCTTTCGTAGTTCTCCAGGTTTCTGCCCCATACAGTAGAACTGTCTTGACATTTGTATTGAAAATGCTGACCTTGGTGTTGGTTGACAGTTGCTTTGAGCTCCAGATGTTCTTCAGTTGTAAATATGCTGCTCTTGCTTTGCCGATCCGCGCCTTCACATCTGCATCAGATCCACCCTGTTCATCAATGATGCTGCCCAAATATGTAAAGGTTTTTACATCTTCCAAATCTTCTCCGTCAATTGTGATTGGATTGGTGCATGCTGTGTTGTATCGGAGAATCCTGCTTTTCCGTTTTGTATATTGAGACCTACTGCTGCCGCCACACTGTTCGTCTTCTCCTGCATTTGTTGTTGCGTTTGGGATAAAAGGGCCAGATCATCTGCGAAGTCTAGATCGTCCAACTGCATCCTAGAAGTCCACTGTATCCCGTGTTTCCCTTCAGATGTTGATGTCTTCATGATCCAGTCGATCACCAGAAGAAAGAGAAAGGGTGAGAGTAAGCAACCTTGCCTGACACCGGTCTTCACTTCGGACGACTTTGTCAACTGTCCTGCATGCACGATTTTGCAGTGTAATCCATCATATGAGTTCTGTATGATATTGACTATCTTCTGAGGCACGCCGTAGTGTCGAAGAAGTTTCCATAGTGTTGTTCTGTCCACGCTGTCAAATGCCTTTTCGTAGTCAATGAAGTTGATGTAGAGTGATGAATTCCATTCAATTGATTGTTCCACAATGATCCGTAGAGTTGCGATTTGGTCTGTACACGATCTATCCTTACGGAATCCTGCCTGTTGGTCTCGAAGTTGGGCGTCTACGCAGTCCTTCATGCTGTTTAACAATACTCTGTTGAATACTTTTCCCGGTATTAAGAGAAGAGTGATGCCCTGTAGTTATCACAGTTGCTGAGATCGCCTTTCTTCGGTATTTTGATCAGAAGTCCTTCTTTCCAGTTTGTTGGTACTTGTTCCTCATCCCAAATCTTATTGAAGAGAATGTGGAGTATCCTTGCAGTTGCCGCTACGTCTGCTTTTAGTGCCTCTGCTGGGATGTTGTCCGGTCCTGCTGCTTTGCCACTCTTGATTTGTCTGATGGCCATGCTGATTTCTTCAACTATTGGTGGGCCAACATCTATTTGGTGGTCCGTGGGTGCTGCTTCGATGTTGGGTGGGTTCAGTGGCGCTGGTCGATTCAAGAGTTCTTTGAAGTGTTCTATCCACCTGTTTTGTTGCTCTTCAATGTTGGTGATTACCTCGCCTTCCTTGCTTTTCACTGGTCGTTCTGGTTTGCGGCGATTTCCAGAGAGTTTCTTTGTTATGTCATACAGTTGTCTCATGTTTCCTTCTCTTGCAGCCTTTTCCGCCGTCATTGCTAAATCTTCCACATATTTACGTTTATCGGTTCTGATGCTCCTCTTCACTTGCTTGTTTGCTTCTGTGTATTCAGCTTGTGCCTTGGCTTTTTCTGCTCTTGTTCGACTGGTATTGATTGCTGCCTTCTTGTTTCTTCTTTCTTGAATCTTATCCAGTGTATCAACACTGATCCATTCCTTGTGGTTGTGCTTCTTGTGATCCAGGACCTCATGACATGTTGAAGTGATTGCTTCTTTGACCCCCTTCCAGTTGCTCTCCATAGTAGTTCCTTCTCCATTGAGTAGATCATGAAAGGCCTGGAACTTGTTGCTGAGGACTATCTTGAATTTGTTGAGTTTGTCAGTATCCGGAAGAAAGGCCGTATTGAACTTTTGTGATATTGTCCGCCCCGTTGTCCAGTGTTTCTTGAGTTTCAACTTCATCTTGGCGACCAGCAAGTGATGATCTGATGCTATATCAGCTCCTCTCTTGGTTCTCACGTCCTCTATAGTCCTCCTGAACGTTTTGTTGATGCAAATATGGTCGATTTGGTTTTGCGTGGTGTGATCCGGTGAAGTCCATGTGGTTTTGTGTATGCGTTTATGTCGGAATATGGTGCCGCCTATGACCAGTTTATTGAAGGCACATAGATTTGCAAATCTCTCACCATTTTCGTTCCGTTCTCCTAGCCCATGTCGTCCCATGATGTCTTCATACCCCGTGTTGTCCATTCCAACCTTGGCATTGAAATCTCCCATCAGAATGGTCAGGTCCTTTGTTGGGCACTTCTCGACGATTGACTGCAGCCTATTGTAGAATTGATCTTTAGCGTCTTCATTGTAGTCGTTGGTAGGCGCATAGCATTGGATGATGTTCATTGAAATGCCCTCTTTCTTTGTTTTAAACGAGGCTTTGATGATCCTTGGTCCATGAGATTCCCATCCTATAAGTGCATTTTGCGCTTGTTTGGACAGCATCAATGCAACTCCTTGTGTATGTGGTGCATTTTCTTCTTCATGGCCGGAGTATAACAGGAGCTCTCCTGTAGTTAGTCGTTGTTGTCCAACTTGTGTCCAATGTGTTTCACTGATCCCAAGTACCTCTAGGTTGTAACTCCTCATTTCTGCAGCAATTTGGAATGCTCTTCCGGTGTCCCACATTGTACGAACATTCCATGTACCTGAATAAATGGTCGCTCTGGTTGTCAGAAGGGGCATCGGCCTCGTAACTTCCGAAGGAATTCGGCTTTCATCATGAGGCGTCATAGTTCTTCTAAAAGAAGACCTTCTGACTCCAAGGGCAGAGTTTAAAAGGTTTGAGTAATTTTTTCTGGTTAGCGTTTTTTTAGCGAGTTAGTTTTCTACGGGATGGGGACGCTAACCCCATGTCCAACCCTCCTCCTTTATCCGGGCTTGGGACCAGCAGTAACCCCCGGAGGGACTTCAGGCGGAGTTCACCTACTTGAGCATTAAAGTCACCAGCCACTATTAGTACATCAGAACGCCTAGCTTTTCGGAGAAGATCGGGAAGCTTCCTGTAGAACTCATCTTTAACATCATCTGGGCTGCAGTCAGCGGGAGAGTAGGCAGAGACGGCGAAGAGGCAACGACGGGCGTCCCTATCTTCCTGAGTCCTTACTGTTCCGTTTAGTCAGCCAGTGCACAAATGAATGTCTTATGGGATCCAGTCTAAGAATGATAGTTCTGCCCTATGTCTCAATACTATACCTACACCAGCGGGACCACGGGAAGCAACATAAGGCTTCCAGATACACGAAGCGTGAATCGAGATTGTTCTTTATTTTGATATGGTGAGTTCAAATGAATTACACTACTCGGATCCTGTATGAGCGTTTCGGAAACGCAGCACACATTGATAGCGCGAGATTCCTAAGTCTTAGCTAAGGAGGCCTGTTGTCCTATTTGGCAGTGTTCGAACATTAAAAGCTCCTACATGTAGTTTCGAGCATGTTTTCAGGAGACCAGGAATGACGTTCCGCGTACTCGAATCGTTTTCACTAGCATTGAGAGTTGATAAAGGAACGTGAGAAGGGTAAGTCGGGGAGATAAGAGAGTTATTAGGTCTAGAAAGGATTTGAATGTGACCAACTTGGTCTCGTGTCCTGTTACGTGTTTGAGGACTAATGTCACTTCCCGGCTGCCCACACTGTGGAAGGGTATTTCTTGAGGAACCTGAAAAGAAAGTTGGATTAGTGTTGGTCTCAACGACCTGGGAGCGTGACCGCAGAACTCAAGGGACAACTGCATGAGGCCGGTGGCGCACGGCTTTTCTGTGGGAAGTTTTTAACGTGTCAGCTCCGTTATTTAGAAGGCTTCACCACCGGAGACGGGAATCCGTGAGGTAAGGTAAGGTGCGACATTTTTAGGGTCTACATTTTCTAACCCTGTCCTTCCTTATGAGAAAGTAGAATCGCTGTAGATGCTGGTTTCCCGAGGGCAACACCTTATTGCTGTCACACCCCTCTACAGTCAGCAGTACGACTTCGCCTTTAGACCTTGATTTGCTGCTTTTAGTTTTACTGTTCTCCAATCGACCTGCCTGGCATGGTAGGACTTACAGGAATATATGTCCCAGCCAATATAGTTCGGTTGGGTCATCACGACAGGCAAGCCTGACCACCACGTCAAGGTAGCAGCCACGGTCCAGGATCCTATTACTATGATGACGTTTATGTAATATTTAGATTCCTTTTAGCAATATATATAAAGTGTTCTTGACTTCTTTTTTTTATTAAAGATCAGAAAGGTGAAACGGTTGTCAGTATTGATTTGGACCTTCAATTTTTTCATGATCTTAAAGAATGTAAACCACTGATTGAGAAAAAAGAATATTTAGATAAGCATAAACTGTAAGTTTATTTTTCATGATTCAGATGTTTAATAATAAGACAACGCATATTCGATTTGTTTTCATGTCATTTGAATATACTTGACTTTATCGAAAGTACTCTGAATAATCTTTACCAAGTCCAAATTAAAAGATATTATTTATCAACATTTCAATATATGTTTCGAGAGTTTGATGTTGTTAGACGTTTAACGAAAATATAGGACATTATAAACCTATGTTTAGTTTTTAATGACTCTACATCCGAGCACGAAATCCAACGTATGTTTTTATAACAAATTTCGTTTTGAAATATTCCCATATTATATATGTTGTTCTAAATTTCGTTTTCGCCAAATCCAACCAACTAACTATTCAGACCGTTTATCATGGTAATCTTTTTCAGAAGTCGTCCCACTAACTCCCGAACATGTAATGCCTATTTTCTGATGAGTACAAAAATTTATCTATTGTTGCTTATCGCCAAAGCCTTTTCTATCGGTTTTGCTTTTGCTGGCCACCAATGCTCACGATCGTTGTGTAGACTCTTGTCAATCTACGTTTAATAAACGGAATACACCCATTATGACATTAAATAACAAAGAAATATTAGTTCAGCGGAGAGTTTTCTTTTCGGCGAATTCATTTTCAAAGCTGTACAATCGCAAATATATATACTTATTTTTACAGGGTGACAATAATACTGATAATAAACTTCTGTTATACATGGTGACAGTGAGGTTAAATAAACAAAGGTATTAAAAAGATTTTTTTAAACAAGGAAAGTTTAATAATCGTTTGATAGTTAATGGCTGAAGTATTCATTGGGTAAGGATGGCTCAACATGATAAAATAAAATGTTGAAACAGAGATGAAATGTGATCGGAATGATCGTGGAAATAAAAACAAACCGGTTGGGGTAGAAGATTTGAAGGGAAGATGGAAGGTGAAGCAGGTGGCTGTAAGGGAACAAGAGTATGAAGGAACAGAAAAATTTTTTTAATACATTAAGACCATGGTAGAAGAAAAGGTTGTACCAGTTGTACCAGAATGTATGGCTATTGCCTCGGCAATCCAAAGAAGATGCAGTCTAATTGTCTTAGGAAGGCTTCTACTTACTTTGTGAATGACTTTGAACGCAGAGTCTGTCTTGATTGAATGACCTATGTTCACAAGGTGTTCGATTATTGAACTTCTTATTGAGCCGTTGCCTCCTCTTTTTAGCAAAAATAACAAATAAACCTTGTTTTTCATCAGTATATCTATACAATCCATGTTTTTATTATCTTTACAGACTTGTTATTCGCAATCTCTCTGAAATTCAAGCAAAAATCATTTTAACAAATTTAGACTCCAACTTCAAAGTAAGTTCATGTCAGAGTATTTCTTTACAGTGCAAGCTGCCAAACAAAAAGATCTGTAAGTGTTAATGAATATATCTAACTAGACAATTTTCTCTGATTTTTACAATATATTTTTTTCATAATAACGTTAACATTTTGTAATTCAGACTAGTAATGAACGTAAACAAAATGTAAGCTACAGGTTTTTCTATAAATTAACTTCTGTCTCTCCGCCTGCCCAAAAGTTTTTCACTGTTGATTATTAACAGATGTTTTATTTATTTAGTTGAAGGAATAAATATTGATACAAAGGAGTACCAGATACATATGCGCCACACAATAACTATTAGGATCTGACGAGATAAAAAATGTAAGGTACGTATAAGAAAAAAGCGAACAATAACAGACAGAAATTAATGTATGAGAGTGGAGTATATAATAATGGAAGAAACAGTTCAATTCGCAAAAGTACAACCAGAAAGAATTCTTCCAGTTAAAGACGTTACGTCCATTTTTTATAAAGAAAGTAAAATAAAGTTACAGCAGGGTCTCCACTGGCTCATATTCTAGGAAATATCTGATAACGTCTCTAGTCGCTGTGTTGCACAATCTCTAGGACTCCAACCAGGGAGTTGTGAAGGACCAACAGAAACCAGTCCTGTGCGGCTTTGTTTCACACACTGACCACCTCTCCACTTTTTCCAACCAGTCCCAGAGTCTGAAAACAATGCACGACGTGGAATTCTCTGGGACGACATTCGTAGAACGTGTCCAAGCCACCCGAAGTCGATGTTTCAAGATAGTGTCACCAATTGAATTACCATCTCTGTGCCCGAACATACGATGCCGAACCTCTGCATTACTAATATGGTGTTGCCACTGGATGTCAGCAATCCTTCAGAGATCAAGCACAAAGAGTCGTCTAACATCCTCAACTCGGAAAGGCCAGGTTCATTCAACGATTTCTTATCCATGCTATTGCAAATAAAGTTCTGCACTTTTATTACTCATCTCATGTTTTCTTGTCAGTGTAGTTTGATAGTAGTCTCATACAATGTCTGTTAAAATCCGCTGTTCCATTTAGTATAAGTAAATATCACTTACAAAAATTTCTACACTGCGATTACTCTAAGTTGTGCGATTTTATTAATTTGTTCAGATATTCAAATTAACAGTGGTTTTATTAATAGATCTCTTAAGATATGAGCGATAACTCCCCCCTCCCTTGCCCTATAAAAATCATATTTCAATCCTAACAAAGCATTGACAATCTTGTTTTTTATCCTTTCCGATATTTTTAGCCTATCTCCAAAGCAGTGATAAATTTAGCCTGTGGTCTAAGCCACGCTCGAGAAATGCGAAACTTTTTCTTGGACATTATTGAAAAGGTATTTTTAAATTCTAAATCATTGAATTATTGATATTCTGTAGTAGTTGCATCATATATACATTACATTTTTACCAATAATAAATGATGTACTGAAAAGGTCTGATAGTAGTAACACTTCTCGTACGAAACGTGTTGTGCCACACAACCCTATGAAATGGTTGATAAGCAGTTTGATCACTTCAAAATTTCTCTCGTATTATAGCCTTTTGGGAAATGCTGCAGCGTAGTTTCAAAAAACTTAAGTACATCACTCTATCCCCCTGCAGGTTTTCCTACTGCTGGTTGTAAGGTTAATTTCATTCAAATTCCAGCCGTTTCACACGGATTCATAGTTCTGTCTTCCTTATACTGTTCTCTTTAGTTACTACTAAAAATTGAATTTTCTGAATCAAATATCTGATTGTTAGCATGACTATTATTATTATTATTATTATTATTATTATTATTATTATTATTATTATTATTCTATACAAGCAGTTATTTCTTGTCTTAAGTAGTGGTATGTACTTTCAATTTTTAGTTAATTGAACCAATGCGAGCACTGAACTGGCCATCAAGAGAAGTTAAAATGTTTTTCGATGCTTATCATAATACCGTTAAGGCTCTACCTCTTGGAAGGTAAATACTGTATCTTTTTATTAAGTATGTAGAAATATTTTGACATTTGTCCCAATATGTAGGGAAACACCCTGTTGTGTATAAGATTAGAGGTAGATATACGATTTTTAACATATGTATGGTTACTTCGAATATATTATTTATTTATTTATTTGAACACATACATATTGGTACAAGAGTGCGCCAAATATATATGCGCCACACAAAACAATGAGAATTTAGAGAGAAGGAAAAAGGAAAAAAGGTAAGGAGGGTAAAAAAGAAAGAACAATAAGGAAGAGATTGGTGTAAGGTGGTGTAATAATAATAGTGGTAATAATGGAACGGAAAGGTACAATCAAAGAAACCCTTCAATTAAGGAAGACACAACCATGTTTTTTATGAAGAAAGTAAAAGAAGGTTACAGCAGGATCGCCACTGGCTTCTATTCTGAGCCATATCTGATAACGTCTCTAGCCACTGTGTTGCGCTATCTCTTGGAACTTAGCCAGGGAGTTGTGAAGGACCAACAGAAACCAGTCCTGTACGGCTTTGTTTCACACACTGACCACCTCTCCACTTTTTCCAACCAGTCCCAGAGTCTGAAAACAATGCACGACGTGGAATTCTCTGGGACGACATTCGTAGAACGTGTCCAAGCCACCCGAAGTCGATGTTTCAAGATAGTGTCACCAATTGAATTATCGTCTCTGTACCCGAGCACACCATGCCGAACCTCTGCATTACTAATATGGTGTTGCCATTGGATGTCAGCAATCCTTCAGAGACAACGATGATCGAACACCGAGAATCGTCTAACGTCCTTAACTCGGAGAGGTCAGGTTTCACAAGCATAGAGCAGAACTGCTCTCACCAGCGCGTTGTAAATCCTACCTTTTACAGCCAAAATAACACCACGGAAGCGCCAAAGATGGCCCAGATTGGCATAAGCCGCTCTGACTTTCACTATACATTCATTGATCTCATCACTCACGTCACCACCAGCACTTATGCAGCTACCTAGATACACGAACTTCTCAACTACTTCTATCTGCTCACCATCCAGGGTGAGTACAGGATTAGGATCCTGCCAGTCTTGTAGAAGTACTTTGCACTTCGAAGGTGCAAAGCACATACCATACCTACGGACACTGATTGCCAACTGATTAATTGCGGATTGCATGCCTTGGGCATTATCGCACAGTAAGAAAATATCGTCCGCATACTCATGGTCGAGAAGTCTTTCTCCAGGCAACAGATCCACACCACCATTACTTACATCCATCAGAGCTGTTTCCAGAATGTCGACGATGGCAAAGTTGAAGAGGAATGGTGAGATTGGGCAACCCTGCCTAACCTCACTTCTCAAATGGAACAATGGAGAAAGGTGATTGTATGCCCTCACTCTGCCTGAGGTGTTTTTATCTAGGGCCTTTAAGATGTTAATAAACTTCTCAGGCACACCCTTCTTTAATTGACAATCCCAGAGAACAGTCCTTTCCAACAAATCGAAGGCAGCCCTAATGTCCAAAAACACTACGATTGTTGGCCTTTGATGAGTATGGGGGTGTTCTAACATTTGGCGGAGGGCTGCCCACTCTCTCCATTTTTGTTTAATTTTGTTGCTGACATGCTTTTAGAGATAATACTTTCCTTATCTAAATTTCCAGGAGTTAAACTTCTACTGGGAGATCCACTTGTTGACTTAGAATATGCCAATGACATGGTTCTATTTGGTGAAGACGCTGACAAAATGCAGAGTCTTCTGACCACTCTAAGCAACAATGCAAGCATGTTCGGGATGTGATTCTAACCCTCGAAATGCAAAATGTTGCTTCAGGATTGGGTTGCATCGACACCCGAACTAGTGATAGGGAGTGAAGTAATTGAGCGTATCGATCACTTCACTTATCTTGGAAGTCTCATCAGCCCCTGTGGTCTGGTTTGTGACGAAATCTCAGCACGGACACAGAAGTCTGGACTAGCTTTTGCCAACTTGCGTCATTTATGGCGTAGGTGAGATATCCGTCTATCAAACAGGCACGTGTTTACTGTGCGGCAGTTCGTTCCGTCCTACTTTATGGCAGTGAAACGTGGCCGGTAAGAGTAAAGGATATTCGTAGGTTACTAGTATTTGATTATAGGTGTCTTCGAAATATTGCTCGTATATCCTGGGACCATCGAGTAAGTAACACAGTTGTTAGGAAATGGGTACTAGGTAAGGATGGCAAATAAATCGACGAAGTAGTGAAAATTCGTCAGTTGAGATGGCTGGAATACGTGTTACGTATGCCCAACCACCGACTGCCTCGATGTGCTATGTTCAGTGGTATAGGAGTAGGTTGGTAGAAAGCTGGATGCGGACAGACCAAAACATGGCACAAGTCCATGAAGTCACTTACAAGTGATCTGAGTCATGTCGGTAGGTGTAGACTACCTGGTTGGGGACCGCGAGATGATAGCAACCGATGGTTAGAGACCTTGAATGACATGGCTCAAAATCGTTTGCAATAGTGCAGGTGCATCCACTCTTTGTGTTCTCCCAAATTCTAATCTTCTGAAATCTTCATGTCCCATTTTTTCTCTTTCCAAATTTATTTCACTGTATAGTAATCTTTAAGTAACGTCTCCAAACACTAATCTTCCCGATAATTGCTTATACTCTTATTACCTCTACCACTACGGGATTTGAATCGACCACTGCATCTCTGTGCTAATGTGGTGTGGCAACTCGAACTGATGTACGTACGTACGAAGTTCTACGTTGTTACTAACTGACTGACGACCTGAACGAAACCCAGCCTGCTCCTCACGAGTCAATCTTTCCCGGGTTTTGAACAACCTACGAAGTATGACGGAAGCCAATAGCTTGGACGCAATCGGAAGTAGACTTATCCCCCGATAGTTGTTACAGGAACGACGTGAACCCTTTTTAAAGACAGGGACAACTATCGACTCATTCCATAACGTTGGTACACTCTCTAGTTCCCAAACCTTTGTAAACAACGTCGTCAATTCCTTAGTCAGAACGTCACCACCATCTTTAAAAAGAGCCGAAGGCAAGTCATCTGGGCCAGGTGATTTGTAACGCTTCAAGAGTTGGAGTTCCTTGCGGACTTCCTCCTCATTTGGTGGATCAGTCGTCACCGGCCATGGAGGGCAGGACAGTCTGACCGATGTTGCCGGAGCAGCAGGCCAGTTGAACTGCCCTTCGAAAAATTCTGCCCATCGTCCAAGACGTCGATGGATGTTAGTGATTGGCGTTCCATCATCCTCGCAGATTGTTTCGCTCACACCAGACTTCTTGCTGGCAGTGGCTCGGACGAGTTGGAAGAGCTTCCGGTAATTACCAGATGCAGCTGCTGCTTCCAGCTCATTAGTACTCTCCGGCCACCAGGCTTCTCGGTTCTTACGCAAGCTTTGCCCGATTTCCTTACATAGCATCCTTCGTTTATGGTCAAACTCACGGTCACCCGGAGTAGACCGACGGGCTTCAATGAGTTGTAAGGAACCAGAAGAAACCCAGTGCTTATAAGCGGGACGTTTCGCAAACCCTAAGTGACTGTACCCGCCATTTTCATGGCGTCATGCAATTGTAACCAATGCTCATCTATACTTTTCGGTGGAGTGGTAGCTAGCCTAGAAGCTAGCTCTGTTTGATACTCACTTGCAACAGAAGTTGCAACCAGCTTGCTAACATCAATCTTTTGGTGGTGGTCACTCCGTTGGCCACTGAAAAGTAAGGCAAGATTGGCGCAGACCAAGGCATGGTCAGAGTCCAGATAGGTACTCTAAAAGGAGCGGCAGTCTTTTACACAACCACGCCAGCGGTAGCTGATCGCGATGTGATCAATCTGAGTCCAGGCTTGAGATGCAGAAGGAGGACGGCAGGTGGTACATCGACGATGACTGTGCCGAAAGTTAGTGCTGGCTAGAAACAGGTTGTGGTCTGTGCACAGTTGCAGTAGACGGTCCCCGTTATCTGTCCTGCGACCAACAAGTCCCCATTGGCCACCTAAACAACTCTCTTCTGTGCCTAGACACTTATCCTTGATTGCATCCGGGCTGCAATCTGTCGGGGCATAGGCGGAGATGACGAAAAGACATCGTTTCTCACGCCGATTTCTTCTCAATTTGATGGAACTCTAGTCTAACAGCACATAACCGACTGTTAATGGGGATCCAATCGATTAGTGCTTCCTCAGCTCTAGCGCTTAGTGCGACACCAACACCAGCAAGATCAGACGAAGATGCCACAGGGTCCACGGATAAACGCATGTAAAACAAGCTTTTTGAAGCGACAGATGGAGATCGAATTTGTAGTACTTCACCAGAGTCCTGAATACGGGTCTCGGATAGACAGCAAACATCGATATTAAGACTTTCTAAAGACATAGCCAGCCCTATCTGTTGTCCAACCTGCATAAATGTGCGAATGTTGAAGGCAGCCAGTTTGAATGGTGCACGCGGTTTCGGAAAAACTGCTTCAGTACTCATATTTGGTGGTAACATACGATTTCCAACCGGACAGTGACTCGAGAACGTTTTGATACAGTCAAATTTCCACCATAGACGAGCTGCTGTATAAGTCGAAAAAAATAAATATAAACAGAGTGGGAATACAAGAGGGTGAATAATGATGTAGTAAATAATAACAATAATAATAATAATAATAATAATAATAATAATAATAATATCAATAATAATGCGAATCACTTGATTGCTATTTGGAGCGAGAGGAATATTTTTCATAAGTAGATAGTTTATCATGTTTTTGTGTGCGTGCTGAGATACTGTCCGGGTGCCCAAGCCGAAGCAGGTGGTTTTCTTAGGAGGCCACACCCCGAGCCTTTGACCTAAAGGTCTAACCCACAAGGTAGTGAGGAGATGCAGTCCCATGGTAGGCGGTGACCAAGGAATTGGTTCATACACCATTTGTCACCGCAGGATACTGGAGCCCATGTGCACCATTGGTTTGGGATCCGGTTAAAGCGCCAGGCACTCGCTTTTCGTCCTCTCACGAGAAGGCAGTGAGTTGGAATTCCCCGGCTGAGGCTGTATACGCGTGGCCGTGTGAGAGTTTTTCGATAGGGGGACGAACCCATCGCGCTCTCGACCATAACAAGGCATTTTGGGGCACTTCGAATATATGCTTGTATGTGTGTTGGTTACTGTTTCCCAAAAATCGATCATAAGCACATCGACTTTATTTTCTATCTTTAAGTGATTACACAATAATTTTCTGATACTCATATGTTACTACTTTAAAGAAGGATCGCCAATTAGATTAAACTACTCAGTGGTCACTTACCCATTGTTTTCAAACTTTCTTTTCTGATTTTTGAATTGTTTCAAGAATTTGTTAAGTTATATACTATTTTATTTTGCTCAGCACTGGTGTCGGTAGTGAAATACACTATTAAGCTAAAATGTGGTAAGGTGGACTACGTGTTTTGACTGTATGTAGTAATTCAAATCCATACACATTTATCTCGCGCCTTATTTTGTTTGTCGGTTCCGACTACCAGTAACTTTTGTTACAAGCCCAAGTTCTGCCACCTTCCTCAAACGTTGTGCTAACTTTGCGATGTTCAACAATGGCCACAAGAAGTTTTATCTTGTAAGAAAACCCGAAATACTGTGACTTACAAATCAATGTATATGTCCCTCTGTAAGTAAGATGGGTAGAATAATCTTACTTACGCCAGGAATCATTCGCAGCAGTTTTTAAATAGTTGAATATCTGCCTAAAAACTAAAGGAAATCTTGATTTACTAGGTAAAATCCAAAGTGTCATTTTCCTATTAAGTTGGTTATTATGGTGGGGGTGTTGGTTCTGACATTTTTATAATTCTATTAAAAGATAACACATTGTTCGAGTCTGTTGTCTTGAAAATTCACCGAGATCAATCGTACTTTTCATTAAAGTGTCTGCTGTTTAATAACATGATCAAGGAACCCTTTCAAATGATTGATATGTTAGTAGTAAGTTGAATATCAAAATATCAATAGACTTCATATCCTTTAATCAACTTAAACAATTAAAGTTAAAAAATATTCGAAGAAGAAATTGAATCTTAGAATGTTCAGTTCACGCGTGGGAAACAATCATTGAGTATAATTTATTACAATGCTAAAAAAAGGAGGTCAACAGAATTAGATCGAATTATTGTGGATAAATCAGAGAAGTGATTGTTTTTAATAGATAAGAAAATATCAGCTTAATATTTTGTTACTGTTATTTAATCACTTGTTATTAACTTCGTTTCGCATCTTACGTTGAACATTTATTATTGTTTCCTTTATAATACAGATCCTCAACTTTCCTCACTATATGGACACGTTTCATCATTCCATTTTCGAATTGTGTAATCCACTTATATCATAATCAATCTATGTGAATAAAAACGATAATTCACAATAATTTCTATGCAGCAACAACAATTACCATTATAGGATAAATCGAGTTCATTCCATGTCGTGTGCTCTAATTCTCTCATGTATGCACTGGTTTGTATCAATACATAAAATGTTTTACATTGTAGCTATATGTGTATGAAGTCATTTAGTTTACCACTAAAATATAGTTATAGCTTCTTTTAATGTGGAGTCTTTAATCACTGATTTCCCACCAGAAGAGACCGTTGACATGCATTCATGCTGTACTTGCAATAGTACGTACTTTGGAATATCATAGAGACTTATCTAAAAGAACCTCGGGATATACGCCGAATAACTTGGTCGTGAATTGCTCCATACTACCTGGTGGTATCATAGGAAGACATAAATTGGACACTAATCATCCAGTAAATCCTGATACTACCTTCCATGTGATAAATATACAGGACTATTTCAGAGTCCTACTTATGCAGAAGGCGCTGTTGTCAGGTGTCTCAACATGAATTTGTGTGTACAACAGGAACTTGTGGTTTACTTGACACTCGAGGTGACCGTTTTGCTGATAACCTTCCCTTCCATTTTTCCTCTATCATCTTTAAAGATATTTTAAACTGTCAGCTATTTCTTAAATCTGCTTAGTTTGCCTAACCTCACTTTCATTTGATCACAGTAACACATTTATTGTTCATTTTAGTCATTTTCATTCCTGATTTGTGGTTATTACAACTGGTGTTGTTATTTTAGCACTATTCAATAAAATGTTTGACCTCTTATCTATTTAGTATTTTGTTTTCGCATATCTTTTTCAACTATTATTGTCATTATTAGTGTTATTATCACCATTATTATGATCACTTTTATAATTGATTTTCTGTTGTTACCATCGATTTCATCATTCTGTCTACTGTAATCATAAAAATTTGTACTTGCTTCTTCTGCCCATTCACGTCATATCCTTCCCCTCACTTAATCTGTCTTGAACGAGAATACAAGCGGAAACAATCGAATGTATTTGAATACAAAATAACAGAATATCTTAGTAAAATCTGAGAACCATACAGTAAATAATTCATTTGAAAAATGTCCATCAATTGTCTCAGACTTTAATGCTCCTTTATTTTTGCACCAATTATTCTTTGTTCTCGTTCTCTTCTCTTCGATCTTCTCAACCTACTGCCGCCAGGTATTCCACTTTCCATTGATGATACATACTACTTATATCTGTCAACATCAGCAGCACACATCACAATCCATTCACCCATAAATTAGACTTGTACGAATAGGGTAAGTATTTATAATTATTCTTTATTGATGAACTAATTAACTTCATACATGTTACACATATGGTTACAATGTAAAATCAGTGGGTACGTGAGAGAATTAGAGCACATTAAATGACATGAGCTAAATTCATTTCGGAATATTGATTGTTCTTCATGTACAAATGGTTATTGGTGGGACTTATTACGTAGAACAATAACTTTGATCAATATTTTTTAATATTTGTACTTTACTAATTGTTTTGTGAATTTCGTAAATTATCTGTGATAATAAAATAATTGTTTCTTTATCTTAAATTTCTGTTTAATCTTAGAATATATTGGTCAATATAAATATTCTTGTTTAGTGTATAAAAAGAGGAATTTATTGTGTTATTATATGTGGTGATGATCACTTCAAGAAGCACTGAATTTATTACTTACCTATTTTAGTCAATTAAAACAGATTGAAAATGTTTGTATGCAGAATTGAGTTTCACAATTAACTTTCTTGTTTGCTTATACTTTAGAAAGATATTTCTGTAGACTAGTAGTTGTATTGTTCAAGAAATTACCAGAAAAATAAGCTCTCGTTCTCGAAATTCAGCTTCATTTAGTTTCAATTGTTACGATCTCATTAACTATTGCAAATTGTAAGCAAAGTGTTTGACTTATCCACTCTGTACTGAATAATTAAGTTTAAGGATAATTTTGAACAGGAACTGGTATATTCTGGAAAATCATTAAATAGCGGAAACCATCAGGCCAGTTTTTGCATTCTGATCTGTAACTGCACGTGCTTTCAACGACTTTCTGTAGTTACTGTCGATTCGCGATAATTACTATTGTGGTGTGTGCTACTGTTGTTGACAGATATAAGTAGTATATATCATCAATGGAAAGTGAAATGCCTGAAGGCAGAAGGTTAAGAAGATCGAAGAAAAGGGAATGATAACAAAGAAGGATTGGTGTGGAAACGAAAGAGCAATGAAGTCTGAGACGAATGATTGTCATTTTGCAAATGAATTATTTACTGTATGGTCCTCCTATTTTACTGGGATGTTTTGTTATTTTGTATTCAAATACATTTGATTGTCTCCGCTTGTATTCTCGTTCACTACACTATTATCAGGTTAAATTAGTTTTCACAAATAAGCCAATTAATGAAGTGAAGTGAATATTTCCATATTTAGAGACTAGGAAAAAGATTAATTTATCAATGAATTTTCTATTTACTCATCATTATGTATCTGCACTAATGTTGTTTAGGTTTTACAACCAATAATAAAGTAAGTACCAATTATTTAGTAATGAATTAATTAAAACTTTTTATGGATTTTAAGTTATCCATATAAGTAATGACTGCGAATACGATTCAAGGAGTACGATAACTAAGTTTAAAGGTTGTTTATAGTACATAAATTTAAATAGGGTACTCTGTATTTTAGAAATTACTTAATAAAAAACGAAAATCCCAGTTTAAAATAAAAAGAATAGGTCTCTGGTAAATGGTTTTGTTCTTTCGAGTATATAAAATTTTAGGCAAAATCTGTGATTATTTCATCGGCTGAGGTTGTGAGAACAGTTTAAATTTTTCAGTATACAAGGAATTTTTAATGCGATGAACGTTGATATAGATATATACGTAACTGGCGATATGGATCGAATAGTAGACAACAAACAACTTTGTAATCCGTAAGTTGAGTTACCGTCAGGTATCTACCACCCAGGCTGCCAACTACCCTAGTCTATGTTTTAGAAATTCTACAACATAGTTATCTCCAAATGAATATGTCTACAGGGCAGTTACACTGTCAAATACTACAAGTGGATGTAGATGTAGAGATAAATATACAGTTTCTCTATAGTAGTTGTTATTTGCAAATTCTTTTTACACAGTTGTCATCTGTAATTTTTAATAATGAGAAATGACTAGTTGTTGTTTTATCAAACAACATTTCTGGGGATTTATCTCGGTCACTAAGTCTGCACTTGTTTATGTCAAATGAAAAATCAACTCAGTAAATAGATTGCTTAACCTTCAATTGGTAGATAACATGTTCGAATTGTATTCCACCTCATTTGGTCTAAATACTATCACTAAACTTATGCATATTGTGCAATGGAAATTCGAGTATGTAAACCTGTATTCGGCGTATGAATTATTAAATGTTAGTATACTAATAATTGTTTCTGAATGATTATTCTGCTTTGTTTTCATCTAATTACGATTGGTTTTAAGCTTCTGTAATGCATTTTTATATTGTTTATAATGATTGTACTCTCAATATTCCTACTCTTTATTTATAACTGAGGTCATTTGATATAAACTTGATAAATGTATCAGTAGTTAAGTCGGTGTGTACTATAGTTCTTCATAATTCATTTTAATAATAATAATGTGATTAAGAATCTTAGACTAAACGATAACAGATCCAATTCTATTACGTAAAAATCATTCTTCAGTATACTTATTGATTATTTCAAATTCGTTCGTCATTACTAAATGTGTAAGAATTCATATTACTTCCATGAAGTGATATGTATGTTTTGCACAATGAATTACATATATATACTAAATTTATTCATTTTCTATGTAATTCATATCAATTATACCGTTGAATATTTACAAAAATCTAATTTGTTTTGTACAGATTCAATGTTAGAAACAGGATTTACACACATTATTTTAAATAGTACACTACCATTATTTGGTAAATTGAAATGGTTCAGTATTGAAAATTTAACGAATATCAATAAATTGCACAAATTAAAAACTATACATTCTCATAAATGTTTTAATAAAACAATTCAAATGTTTGATGATTGTTGGAATTATATAAGACAACTATTTATTGAATATTTAATTCCAATAGAAAATAACAATGATCGAGTTATTATTGAAACATTTGAACAAACTCAAAGAAATGAAACAATAAGAACTATAAATAATGTAACCTATTTGAATTTTTTAAATGCACTATGTTTAACTGCATGTTATAGTCGATATCAAGAAAATTTAGAACCGATTATAAATGATCGTGTTTTTTGTCCATTCCCATGTGTTATACAAGAAGACTGTTCATTTAATGAATGTAAAAATTATGGTATATTTACACATGAATATGAATGTCCTTGTGATAATTCAAGTAAATGGGATAGAGATAGTAATGAATGCTTACCAGATAGTATATACAAGATAAGACAAACGAGAAATTATGTAAGTAGATTGATTTTTCATATGGTTATATGGGGTTGATATTGTTTTTTAATATGGAAAGACACAAAATTTCACAACTTTGAATCTGCTTTTCATTTGCAGACTGACTTCAAAATGGGCAACGGTAGTTTTTAAAGTATATATTTACAATTGTAGACGGAGTTAAAAAATATAGTACAAAATTTCCGACTCATCACACTAGCGAACATGTGGAAAAACTTAATATTATATTACCACTTATTTTCATAATTATAGCAATTAGGAGAAAACTAGAAATTACTGACTATAAAAATGAAATCTTATACATGCAAATCAAGCAGTTTATTTAGCTGACGTAACATCCCCTTATAAATTTATAATCTTAGAAAACCTAGAGACACTGAAAACTCGTTTGTTCCTATTTCAGTCACTCAGTCATATGCAATGTAGAACCTGCCACATGTGTGTATTCGTTTAAGCTACCATACCCTATTAACGCAGCGAAATGAAATTGTCATAACATACCAGAGTAAAACATGTACTAACAGTATTAGGGGTTGTATAAAAGATCAGGTATGGAAGATACAATTCGAGATTAGTAGAATAATAGCAATAAATTGCATAAGGTAGTTTAGAAACTTAGGATCTAAGTGTCGACAAAAGGTTCATTCCCCCGTGGGGTTAGCGACACATTGCCGACGATTATCATACTAGAACAAAAAGCTGTCTAGTGCTTCTTTGCTTTTGCAGACTGTCTAATTATAGTCATTCCGTGATGTAAACTATGGAATTCAACACTCACTACAAATCTATACTAATAGGTAGTGAGTAGTATTTACTTCACCCAAACTTATTCCAGTTTTTTTTCTTTTACCTAACTAGCCTGATATGTTAACGAAAGAAAAGATTCGAAGGCAAAGAAGCCCGAGGAATTGTGAGCCCTATAGTAAATGTAGTAAAAATGGGACATTATTTTGTACATTGGATTCAAATTATGAGGTTAGTAAAATAATTGGTTCACTGTATTGTGTACTGAGCATAAATATTATCCGTAAAATACGTTGCTTATCGAAAACAGGTAGTCCGAAAATTTAGGGTGTCGGAATTGAATACATTTTGATGAGTTGTTGGTGTTGTTGACTATGTACTAGTGAATGTAACGTGTGGAGAACGTATTACTTCTGCCTGCGTAAATGAAGGATGTGAATGTTCTCCAAAGTATCTATATTGTCCACGTCTGTATTTTATCTTTAGACTGAGCATAATTTCTTTATAGGAATTTGGCTTTAATTCTTGGTCAGTTATGAAATATTTCTTAGAACAATATACTTTTAATTCATGCTATAAAATGTCATGAGTGAATCAGTTTTACCGTTGATATCGGATGGAAATTACTTTCTGTCAAAAAGTGGTTGAACCTGGAAATGGAATATTGGATTTTAAATAAGAGAATTGGAAACAGACGCGAAAAGGATGATTAGCAACTAGAAAGGATTGCCTATGACAGAGTTGGATGGAGAATGTTGGTGGGTGGCCTATGCTCCTTCACGAGGGGTAACAGGGGTAAGTAAGTAAGTACAGCATAATATAAAGAGGTTAAAAAGGACGAAGTTAAAAATTAACTTATTATATATAATGTAATATAATTAGATGGCATCGAAAATGTATAGGTAATTTGATGTATTATACATATTATGTTCCTCATAAAATTGTAATAACACAAAGTTCTAGGTTAGTTGAAAACTTTTTAGAAAGTACTGAAGTACGACACAATTTCTGCTTTGTAAATTTTGTAACCGTATCTTACTATGTATTCTATAATATGGTATTGTACGTTTAGAAAACTCTTATCTAGTGATTTAATTTGCTGCACAGTTGTTCTATGTAAATAAACCACATAGACGTCAACTCATTTTTACAGCCAGTGTGATAATTCTTCTAACTAAACGTTTAAACCGGTTTCCTAAGCTCTTCTAATAACCTCAGACTAAATATACTCGGCAACTTGAACTTGAGAACAAAGGCACAAAATGTGGAAAGAAGGCTTTACTGCAAGGTTAGTTTATGTGCAAAAAATCAAGGGTATTTATAGTATTGCAGTTGGCCTTGGGCTTCTGGAACGTAAATAAACATAGTATCATGGTAGGTAATCGTCCAATCAGGAATGTGACACGTGACTTTTCGCATTCTAAATGTTTCTGAGACACTTTCATTCAACGTTGATAGGATAAAATGTTTCCCAGCGTTTTCAGAGTAACTTTGGACATTTTTGAGGAATACTCTAGATCTCCCCAACACAATCACACATATTAGTGTATCAATTTGACAAGTAGAATTTTATTTAAATATTTTACAGATTTTGTTTTAATATCTACTTTTTCTAAATTTAATTAGCTTTGAAATTGAAGTTTAAAATATCGGCAACCATGATTGTTAAATATTTTCGATGAAGCTTATTTTCATATTTCTTACTATGCTAGTTAAATTTTGATGATTAACGAAAATGATTGGTTAATTAACTGGTTGTATTCTTTCCAGTAGTTGATAATCAGCAAGCTCAAAATGACCATCAAAATTCAGTTCGATTAGACATGTATCGTAAAAAATTGTTTTCTTTTTCTTTTGTCATTTATTTACTTTAAGTATACAATATGTGTGTGCAAACTTGATTATCACGGTAGTTATTGCCAAGACAAAATAAATGCTTGTCTATTTCGTATTGAACATCATTTACAACCAAATGGTGGAACATTAATTGCTGGTAATACAGCATGTAATGTTAATAGTTCAGGCAATAAATGTGTCGCATTAATAAGTGCTGAAGGTGACGCATCATATCAATGTCAATGTAATGAAACGCACTGGATACCAGATATTGAATTACCTTATCCTAATTGCTTACAAAAACAGACAAAGTGCGATTCTATTGTGTGTGTACATGGATTTTGTGTTTCAAATAATCATACTGATCAGGTAAGTGGTTATGTTATACCTTTATACGTAGTATTCTATCGAATTGTGTAAATAAAAAAGTTTGAATAAACAATAATGTGTGAAACAGTTGAAATGGCTTATCTTTTCTTGAAAACTCTTAGCTGAATAATTATCTGTGTAATGAACATTGAAGACTAGGATAGTGTTCAGTAACTACGACATTTCTAATCATACTGAAATATTTTGTTGTTTATTGAAAGTTTTGGTACGAAGATAATGAAACCTTTCACTGTCGCTGGTAGTATTAATCTCTTTACGATGGTTAGCTGGCTCATTCGAATAACTTTTATTGTGAGGTATAGTCGATCAAGTTTTAAGTTATGAAGAAGTATCAACTTATAAATTTGTGAAAATGAAACGAGTATTTGCCCAGGAATACTATTATCTACTAAGATCTTCAGTTGAAAAGTGATGTAAAGCGAGTTTAAATCACTTCAATGCCAATAAATTGATAGTAGTATTTATCTTGCCTATAGGTATCCTTTTCATGCAGTTCTCGTAACTCTGCAAAATCACAGTCTGAGCGTAGCTTCAGTCAAAATAACTAAAATTTCGACTTTTTTTAAAGATAAATTTCTTGTCCTGTATAAAAAACCAAAAACATTTATGCCAAACTTGAAGCAAACTTTTCAAGATCCTAAATAGAATCTGATGACTGAATTTGTTTCTCTACGATAAGTTGTAGCATTCAACATACAATGCTTCAAAAAAAGTTTTCTCTTGATTGTTTTTTTCGGAAACTAACATTTTTATATTACAATCTTCCGCGAAATAAATTTTAATTCCACAATCCTTTGTTTCCTCACTGATTGAAGGATATATCGAATTGATACATCCTACTCGATATCAAATAGACCTAAGCGATATACAATGTAATCCCCATACTTTGTCAACTGGTTTGATAAACCATATATCTCACGCTAAAAACACTAACTTAGCACAAAACATATATACATAATTTTCATGTAAAATTTGTTTCTTTAAAAAGGCTAAATGTTTATGCGATCCTGGTTACGGTGGACCTGCTTGCGAAGAATGGGTTGGTGTATGGTCTGAATGGTCAGAATGGGGTCAGTGTCGACCAACCTGTGGAGATATACGTTACAGTTTACGCCAGAGAGATTGTTTATCAATGAAATTGGGGAATAAAACAAAGCTATGTTTAGGTCCACCCATTGAATATGTTAAATGTTCGGAACATTCATGTATATGTAAGTAAATAGCTAACAACGAGAAGGTGAATTGCTTGTTTATTGATTTTTAAAAAGATAAGCAAAAATCTAATGATTGTAGAAAGCAAGTATGTATGTGAATTGAATAGTTTAGTGTGAAATCTAAATCTCGTTTTAATTTAAATCAATTTTTTTGTTTTAATTAATGACAATATATTTCTTAAATAGAAGACTGAGAAATTAGTTTGACTTCGATTTACTACAGTTTAAATAAAACGCTTATTTTGACTAGACCACCGATGAAAGTCTAGAAGCATTGGACGACCGTTTTGACCTAGTATTGTACTCCTTGGCATTGCCCACTCATGACTCCGCGATCGGAAATCTAGCCAGGGACATTCAGTCTCACCTATAGACACTTAATCTCCAAACCGGAACTCAACAATGTTAATGTCTAGCTTCAAACAATTCACAATATTGCTCAACCCTTAACTTTATTATTTTGACTTTTAATTTCTCATAATTTAGATAACCCATTAAATAAAACCCCCTAATTTAGGTTCGTTTACAAACTGGATTTTATTTATCAACTCGCCCATCCACGACCAACTCCCGAAATTACTCCTTTTTTAACGTAAAATATCTAATGAGCAATGGCAATGTCTCAGATTTTTAATCCATAATGAGTTTACACCGAAAATCAGAATTTTCTTTCGTAATTAGGTATACTACACATGAGTAGTTGCTTCAACTTTATACCGATTTTTACGATGATGACAAACATCCCAATGTATAAGCATAGTGAGTACTACGAAAACGACCTTCAAACTATAGGAGCCTCCCTATATAACACTTAATAAAACAGACTTATGCTCACTAGTGGTTCTATCTGAGATGGTTTTTTTGAAGGTCTGTTGAGAAGTGATGAGTAGCGTACTGATGACCTTGAACGGAATCCACATTATGCCACCAAATAGATGCAAATGTGTATCATTGAATCCCGAATTACCAATTTCAAGGTCCTTGTCACGAGAATTTTAAGTTCAAAATAACCATGAGAAATATGAAAACTGAGATAACAGATGAGCATTTGACCAGTAAATCAATTAAAATAATCTCTAATAGATACACTGACTGCGTTTGCAACTTTACCATTATAAGAGTCTAATTTACTAGTAAGCGGTAACTTCATTTCAAATTTTTAATGAGCTAATAGCTTATAAAATTCTACCTAACCAGCAGTTAGAACATTGTCTGTATTCAGATGGATAAACGAAAGACTCCTCCTTCCAATAGTAATCATAATTAAACAAAATATGTCGTTCGTGTATCCTATTTTATCTCTTAATGAGTAAATCAACGAAGATACCCATCACATTTTCTTGTTTTCTTAATATCAGTGAACTATAGTTTGACAGTAATTGAGCGCCGAGTATAGAGAAGTCATTATATGTGAAAATTATATTTCAATCGCTGAGACTATTTCAAATATAATTTTCACACATAATGACTTCAGTGAACTATAGTTTCAAATGTTAAAACTAAATTTGAAGTGAATATTATTAACTATTATTAGAATCTTATGCTACTTAGTTTAACAGTTACTAGAAAGAAGTATATCGAGGCAACCATACATATAAACAATAATTATCAAATGGTGACTCAGATCAGGTTGATAACTAATCAACTACTACGATATAAAGTATTAATTGCAGTACTTACTTACTTATTTACGCCTGTTACTCCCAATGGAGCATAGGCCGCTGACCAGCATTCTCCAACCCACTCTGTCCTGGGCCTTCTTTTCTAGTTCCATCCAATTCTTGTTCATTTTTCTCATGTTTATCTCCAGTTCTCGGCGTAATGTGTTCTTTGGTCTTCCTCTTTTCCTTTGACCTTCAGGATTCCATGTGAGGGCTTGTCTTGTGACGCAGTTCGGTGCTTTCCTCAATGTGTGTCCTATCCACTTCCAGCGCTTCTTCCTGATTTCTTCCTCCACTGGGATCTGGTTTGTTCTCTCCCATAGTACGTTGTTGCTAATAGTGTCCGGCCAGTGGATCTGAAGTATTTTGCGTAGACAACTGTTAATAAACACCTGTATTTTCTGGATGATGGCTTTCGTAGTTCTCCAGGTTTCTGCCCCATACAGTAGAACTGTCTTGACATTTGTATTGAAAATGCTGACCTTGGTGTTGGTTGACAGTTGCTTTGAGCTCCAGATGTTCTTCAGTTGTAAATATGCTGCTCTTGCTTTGCCGATCCACGCCTTCACATCTGCATCAGATCCACCCTGTTCATCAATGATGCTGCCCAAATATGTAAAGGTTTTTACATCTTCCAAATCTTCTCCGTCAATTGTGATTGGATTGGTGCATGCTGTGTTGTATCGGAGAATCCTGCTTTTCCGTTTTGTATATTGAGACCTACTGCTGCTGAGGCTGCTGCCACACTATTCGTCTTCTCCTGCATCTGTTGTTGTGTTTGGGATAGAAGGGCCAGATCGTCTGCGAAGTCTAGGTCATCCAACTGCATCTTAGATGTCCATTGTATCCCGCGCTTTCCTTCAGACGTTGACGTCTTCATGATCCAGTCGATCACCAGGAGAAAGAGAAAGGGTGAGAGTAAGCAACCTTGCCTAACACCGGTCTTTACTTCGAACGACTTTGTCAACTGTCCTCCATGCACAATTTTGCAGTGTAATCCATCATATGAGTTCTGTATGATATTGACTATCTTCTGAGGCACGCCGTAGTGTCGAAGAAGTTTCCATAGTGTTGTTCTGTCCACGCTGTCAAATGCCTTTTCGTAGTCAATGAAGTTGATGTAGAGTGATGAATTCCATTCAATTGATTGTTCCACAATGATCCGTAGAGTTGCGATTTGGTCTGTACACGATCTATCCTTACGGAATCCTGCCTGTTGGTCTCGAAGTTGGGCGTCTACGCAGTCCTTCATCCTGTTTAACAATACTCTGTTGAATACTTTTCCCGGTATTAAGAGAAGAGTGATGCCCCTGTAGTTATCACAGTTGCTGAGATCGCCTTTCTTCGGTATTTTGATCAGAAGTCCTTCTTTCCAGTTTGTTGGTACTTGTTCCTCATCCCAAATCTTATTGAAGAGAATGTGGAGTATCCTTGCAGTTGCCGCTACGTCTGCTTTTAGTGCCTCTGCTGGGATGTTGTCCGGTCCTGCTGCTTTGCCACTCTTGATTTGTCTGATGGCCATGCTGATTTCTTCAACTATTGGTGGGCCAACATCTATTTGGTGGTCCGTGGGTGCTGCTTCGATGTTGGGTGGGTTCAGTGGAGCTGGTCGATTCAAGAGTTCTTTGAAGTGTTCTATCCACCTGTTTTGTTGCTCTTCAATGTTGGTGATTACCTCGCCTTCCTTGCTTTTCACTGGTCGTTCTGGTTTGCGGCGATTTCCAGAGAGTTTCTTTGTTATGTCATACAGTTGTCTCATGTTTCCTTCTCTTGCAGCCTTTTCCGCCGTCATTGCTAAATCTTCCACATATTTACGTTTATCGATTCTGATGCTCCTCTTCACTTGCTTGTTTGCTTCTGTGTATTCAGCTTGTGCCTTGGCTTTTTCTGCTCTTGTTCGACTGGTATTGATTGCTGCCTTCTTGTTTCTTCTTTCTTGAATCTTATCCAGTGTATCAACACTGATCCATTCCTTGTGGTTGTGCTTCTTGTGATCCAGGACCTCATGACATGTTGAAGTGATTGCTTCTTTGACCCCCTTCCAGTTGCTCTCCATAGTAGTTCCTTCTCCATTGAGTAGATCATGAAAGGCCTGGAACTTGTTGCTGAGGTCTATCTTGAATTTGTTGAGTTTGTCAGTATCCGGAAGAAAGGCCGTATTGAACTTTTGTGATATTGTCCGCCCCGTTGTCCAGTGTTTCTTGAGTTTCAACTTCATCTTGGCGACCAGCAAGTGATGATCTGATGCTATATCAGCTCCTCTCTTGGTTCTCACGTCCTCTATAGTCCTCCTGAACGTTTTGTTGATGCAAATATGGTCGATTTGGTTTTGCGTGGTGTGATCCGGTGAAGTCCATGTGGTTTTGTGTATGCGTTTATGTGGGAATATGGTGCCGCCTATGACCAGTTTATTGAAGGCACATAGATTTGCAAATCTCTCACCATTTTCGTTCCGTTCTCCTAGCCCATATCGTCCCATGATGTCTTCATACCCCGTGTTGTCCATTCCAACCTTGGCATTGAAATCTCCCATCAGAATGGTCAGGTCCTTTGTTGGGCACTTCTCGACGATTGACTGCAGCCTATTGTAGAATTGATCTTTAGCGTCTTCATTGTAGTCGTTGGTAGGCGCATAGCATTGGATGATGTTCATTGAAATGCCCTCTTTCTTTGTTTTAAACGAGGCTTTGATGATCCTTGGTCCATGAGATTCCCATCCTATAAGTGCATTTTGTGCTTGTTTGGACAGCATCAATGCAACTCCTTGTGTATGTGGTGCATTTTCTTCTTCATGGCCGGAGTATAACAGGAGCTCTCCTGTAGTTAGTCGTTGTTGTCCAACTTGTGTGCAATGTGTTTCATTGATCCCAAGTACCTCTAGGTTGTAACTCCTCATTTCTGCAGCAATTTGGAAGGCTCTCCCGGTGTCCCACATTGTACGAACATTCCATGTACCTGAATAAATGGTCGCTCTGGTTGTCAGAAGGGGCATCGGCCTCGTAACTTCCGAAGGAATTCGGCTTTCATCATGAGGCGTCATAGTTCTTCTAAATGAAGACCTTCTGACTCCAAGGGCAGAGTTTAAAAGGTTTGAGTAATTTTTTCTGGTTAGCGTTTTTTTAGCGAGTTAGTTTTCTACGGGATGGGGACGCTAACCCCATGTCCAACCCTCCTCCTTTATCCGGGCTTGGGACCGGCAGTAGCCCCCAGAGGGACTCCAGGCGGAGTTATTAACAATCCATAATTCTATCATAAATCTTTTCTAAATTTACACATCAAGAACTATCATCTATTACTCAGATAAGATTCTATAGTTGTAAGTACTCCGAAAACCTTGTATGGTTGTTTAAAAATTTTATTGTTTTAATGCCTAATTCTGTTTACCAAAACTTGTCTATAGACTAGAACACATATCCTCAAAAATGAATCTTCGCTTTTTCGCTCTAATCTTATTTTCTAAGATCATTTACAAAGTGTTATAATTTCTTTTATTACAACCCAGCTGTTCTTATTACTTAGTAATCTTGGACACCAATTCACTCGACAAATCAGAACATGGTTGGACAGGGACGAAATCACATTCCAAATAAAAAGGGTATATGGAAGTAAGAAGCACAATAAGAAAAACACTAGTATATTTATAGTTTTTACACGAGATTCTAGAGTTTTCTCCAAGTATCGACTAGCGCTAATTGGATAATAAATAGTGAGAGTGCAGCAACACAATCGTGCACGGAACGTGCTTTTATCCAATCTATGTCCCGTTAACACAAACTATTTATAAAAAGACTGCAGATTACTGCTATCTTCTGTAAAAAACGATAAAATACCACTAGAGAAAATATTTATCCACATATATCGAATTTTCGAAGGAAATCGGTTAAAATATAGTCGCCCATAAACTGTTGGGCTGCAAAGGACTGGGATGGTGGGCTACCATAATCTGTAAACTTGGCAATTATTATCCATATGGGGTTGTAGAGATTGTTAAGTTTTCGATTGAAATAATGAATGAATCGATGTTGGGCCACCGTTGAGAACCTGGAAACACTGAACGACCGTTCCGCCCTATTATGGAGCTCCTCCGTAGCATGCACCCACGATCCCGCACTTAGAATTGATTATTCGGACCATTGAGTATGGCCTCAATAATTATCGGGCGCTTAACAAAGACTTGTGAACTTCAAACACAAAATCAGGCTGGCTTCAAACCTGGTCGTGGTTGCATCGACCATATATCCACCATTCATCAGATCTTAGAACACAGACATGCTTATCGGCGTCCGACAATGGTGGTTTTTCTTGACTTAAAAGCAGCATTTGAGTCTGTAGACGGAGAGGTTCTGTGGTAGTGTTAAACATTGAAAGGTGAACCTCGGAAGTACAAAAGCCTTGTGAATGTTCTTTACTCGAACACTACTAGTTGAGCCAGAGCTTATGGCGAAATGTCATCTGATTTCATAATCTCAAATGGTGTTCGACAAGGCTGTCCACTTTCTCCATTTTTGTTCAACTTCATCATAGACCTATTGATGGAAATAACGTTCTTATCGTCTGAATTTTCAGGATTTGATCTCCTTTTAGAAGGTCCACTTATCGACTTAGAATACGCAGATGACATAGTCCTGTTTGGTGAAGACGCTGATAAAATGCAGTCTTTTGATAGCACTAAGTAACAATGCTTCAGGACTGGTCTGCGTCAACACCTGAACTAACGATAGGGAGTGAAGTAGTCGAACGCGTTGACAACTTCACTTATCTTCGAAGTCTGACCAGCCCTATTGGGTCGGTGTCTGACGAAATCTCAGCACGGATTCGAAGGGCTCGTCTGGCTTTTACCAACTTCCGTCACCTATGAAGAAGGCGAGATATCCGCCTATTATTTAACGGACGAGTATACTGCGCATCAGTTCGTTCTGTTCTAATTTACGGCTGCTATCAGTATTTGACCACAGATGCCTTAGAAATTTTGCTTGCATCTGCTGGGATTACCGGGTAAGTAATAGTGAGGTTGGACGCAAGGTATTAGGGTTGTAAATCTTCATCGACTGAGATGATTGTGCCACGTGTTACGTATACCTGAACACCGATTACCACGACGCACAATGCTGACTAGTGTTGGGAATGGTTGGAAGAAAGTTAGGGGCGGACAAACCAAAACGTGGCATCAGTCATTGAGGTCACTAACTTCTGGTTTTATCCATGTCGGTAGATGCAAACTACTTTGTTAAATTCCGCGCGACTATCGTAACCAATGTTTTGAGACCGGATGACATGGCTCAGAATCGATCACAATGAAGTAGATGTATATATTCTCTGTCTACACTTTAACCGTGAGATTGAAATTACTTTATACCTTTATTTCTACGAACTTATTCTTTCTCCCTGTATCATATCCTTATATGAAATCTTGTATACATTACCACCATTGAAGTAACTGCTTCTATGAATTTGTTGTTCATCTTGTTGTGCTAATGAGGTGTGGCAACTTGGACCGATGCATATATGTGACTGGTCCTATGTTGTAGCTGACTTATCATTGAGTGTCAGATACATTAACTAAAAAGACCTTATGAGACATATAGATCTCCATGTTTTCTTTTTCAGATAAAGGTGTATCTTATCACTATTTATACTATTCAATACAACAGAATATTATTGCTATAACTTTTACATTTAATGCTGTGGTTTGTGTCACAGTTATTGTAATTTGGAGCTTATTGTTTTTGGCATCCACAAAATCATTTTATAGTTTACTAAAAAAATTATATTCGCAAAGAAGACAAATTAAAATAAAGACGTTGAGACGTGCAACATTGGAACAAGATGAAAGTGAAATGTCTGTGAATCGATGTGAAAATATTAACAATACAAGAGAAGACAATGACGAAACTAATAAATATTAATGGATGACAGGTTTTTACTGTTACAAGTTTATACATTTTACAAACTCAGAACGTTTACTGTGTTTAATCATTCATCATTAAATCTAATGGTTATAAATCAGCTTAAGCAATTTTTTATCGTCTTATTATTTAAAATAGATATCCATTGTGAAATCCTTTTAAACCATATGTTATTGATAGGTTGGGGATCGACTGAAGTTAACCATTTAATTTTACAGGAGAAATAAACGAGTACTTTATGTCCTGAAACTAGAATTACGAAAAATAAAAGTGCAGCGTATCAACTTCGATTATTTCGACGATAGTTACCAGCACAGACAGCTATCATTTGGAGAGCCATTGAACTTCAGGGAGTACTAAGAGAATATTTCGGTTTAATTAAGTATTTCTGAGTAATGAGTACTTACGCCACCCATTTGGTCGAACCTTCAATTGTCGATCCTCAAGAAGTGAAAAATACCATCAACCCAATTAATCCAATTTCAAAACGCCGTATTTCCCTATCTGCTGTTATAGGGGTGCAGACAATCTCATCGCAGAGATTAAAACCTGAATATCTCAGTGGCAAAGTTTCTGACTGCTCTACTATATAAGGAAGGTCCAAGCATCTAAGAGAGCACCGATTAACTTATAACTGCAGATACTCCATGCTAACTGATACAAACCAGCACATTACTTGAGTTTCGAGCTTATTCTCGAATGCTCTCAACTATGTGATATTCAAGACAGCCCACAGCGGTAACAACTCACTTAACTCGATGATCACATTGCAAACATGATGGAGAGAAGTCGATTGACTTTGAGGACTACACAACAAGAGATAAGTTGCTACGCACTGAAAAGAAAATTATCCTGTCTGGATTATAATACACAAGTGTAATGAAGGCCCGTAACTGAACACCTAATCTAAGGAAAAAACACCATTCACACTAAGGAACTTATAATTTTATCTGTATAGTAGGAACATATTATTAGACAAAGAATTTACATTCTCTTACTCGTTGAAGCCTTATTAAATATAAACTACTATTTAGATGTCTATTTAAAATTTCTGAGCAATCATTGTGAACAGATAAAGTTTACAGATGCGTAGTCCTTAAATTTGCATAACCTTATTTAAAAGGTTGTACTTATCGTTTTCACATACAAACCTTACAGCCTAATATACCTACATTTAGTTGTAACTTGTTCATAAACGTTGAAGAGGAAAGTAATTTACTAGCCAACAATTTCAATGCTCAAATCATTTTTAAAACATCGACAGTTGTGATTATTCGAAGCGGTGTACATATGTCATTTTTTATTAAATCTAAGATAGTAAAAACTCCGAACAATTTCATATCCGTTTGATCAACAAGAATGAAACAAACAAAGAGGTATGATAATAACAGAAATAATATTGCTAGTCGCCAGCACAATAGTAAAAGTAAGCATGAAAGACCAACGATGTATCTTGGTAATATGAAGTGAATATGCAATGTTTTAAAATATAGTGTTTTAAAAATGCATACAACTGGTCATTATGCAATCTTCGTTAGAACTCCAGAAATTCTTGAAAAAGTTTACATGATTGAGGATTGATTGGCCCATCTGGACGACAGTCCTTTCGACACTAAGTGGAATTTGTTTCAAATAGATAGAAATTATTTATAAAGATATGACAAATCATGACAATAAAAGATTTATTAGTTATATGAGTAATAATGATATAGAGGTCTATGGATTTAATAGTAGTTGTGTTAATCATTGATATTTATGTACTCGATTTCCAGCCAGGATCTTCGTATGAGGTTTAATGATGTCGCTACGACTGCCCAAGCTGAAATGAAACGAGCTTCAAACCTATAGTTAAATGATCTAGAATAAGATGCTTTAACCCCAGCACACCACGTAACTGATTATTTAATAAACTGGTATGTGAAATATTTCGATACTGAGTTACAAAAATAAAATCAATTTATTTAAAGTTTATTGAGAGACGTCAATGTACACAAGAAACTTGAGATTTAGAAATCCTTTCTATAATATACTTTTAAAGCATCTAGCAAAACGAAGCGTCAATTTTTACATAAACAACTACATAGGACTCCGGAATTTCCTCACCTTTAAGTTTAAATCTTATTTCATCAGTGAATCAATATCAAACATGAAGAATATGCTTCCTATATAAATTTACATGCGACTGTATAGCTCTGAGAGTGAAATCGGTTAAATGAAATCTATTCGATGAACTACACTCTTTCTTACAGGTCTACTTTCATAAAACTAAGTAAAAAATATAAAACCTTAATTCAATACTCACAACTACAAATGCTTAAAATATGTTGATAAAAGACTAATGCTGGGCACTCGTTTTAAAGAATATCTATAGACTAGTACAACAACCGTTTGATCTCGCCAGTTGAATATTACTTTAACTAGCTTAATACCAGAAACACTTACCAAGCATATTGTACAAGGGATATTAGCTAAATTTGCAACAGATGGTGTTTGTGTAGCCAGTCGATAAAGTATTCCAAAACTAGTACTTTGATCAGATATTTCAGAAGTAATACGTGTTTCTAGCTCACCCCCAAACTTTAAAACTTCAAGGACACATTGGACATCCTGAACAGTCATAGGTACCTAAAAAGTCACGATATCAAAGATAGGAGTTATGTGAATTGTTTTAGATTACCTACTCATACCTAAATAACATAGCAAATATAAAAATAAGGGTTTTACACAGTCTGCCATCTGATACTCTAACTCTTAAAATAAAAGCGCTATCAAAATGTTGGTGTTAATGTCCGGTAGCTTGTTCGTTTAATAATATCGTTTTATTTAATAACATACACTTTCAATGTGTAAAACATCCAAATCCTGTACAATAATAACATCCTATATTCACTATGAGGCTTAGATATGTACTTCGTATGATTTGTCATACATTAAGAACTTACAATTTCTAGAAACCTGAGCAGTGGCACACTGTACTGAGAAAATGTTTCCACGCACAATTTAGCAACGATATTTGCGTCCGTCCATAAAATCATGCGTAAAATCTACCAGGTGAGGGCTTCTTATACTATTACTTGGCTGTCTAAATCTTAGTAGATAGTGACAAGTTTGAGCGTACGACGCAACAGACTGAAGTTCAGTATGTAAAGTTAGGTTGCATAACTACAAACTACTGATAAATATCAGAGGTAAATATTATTTTTCATTCAACAAAATTGTTTTAAAAATGCATTTCCTGTCTCAATACTTCTTGCACCCATTCTCAAAGGCCGTAACCGTCACAAAACCCACTTAATAAAAGACCTGATGTCCAAGTTTTCAATTAATTTTACTATAACCCAATCATTTGGCAAAAATAAAATGGTAGGCTTGGTAACTTAATTTACAAGCGTAGAATTTATTCGGATAATAAGGTTAACTTTATCTAACATTTAAAAATAAATTCATAAAATTCATTTTAAATTCAATCTTCAGAGGAAAATGGGCTTAATTTGCCAAAGCCTATGTTTTCGTACAATAATATGATATCACCTATCTTTAAGTTTATATGGAGTAAGAAAGTTGTAGTAGTGATGAGAATACAGTAAACTATATTATGATACTTTGACTTATCAGAAAAAAGATTCCACAACTTGTTCGACTGCCACTGTCTTTTTATGGACGGGAAATTTCACCCAAAGCTAACAGACTCGTATCTTCTGAATACTAATTGTTTCTTTTAAAAAAATACATATTAAAGTGTAATAAAAGGTAAATATTATTACCGATTGACAATCAATGTCGCCGAATGTTACCAACCAAAGACCTTCAAATAAATTCAAGGGGTATGTGTTATAGAAATGATACGGGAACTCACGTTCGTTTAGAGAGACATAAACCTTGTAAGAACTATTAGCCGTCCATTCAAACATCAAAACACATAGATGAAATTAAACAAAGAGGAAATACTACTGATGAGCCATCTGAAATAACTCATTACTTCGAAAACCGAAAAATAATATCACATAACAGCTATAGAAATATTGAAAAACACAGATCTATCTCCCCTTAAACCACAACATGTGGCCACTGTGTCTATGTTTTCTGACTTATTCAGTCACTGAAAATACGGGATTATGAAATAACTTCCACAATGCAAAACACAATAGAGTTCTAAATGTGTGGTAAATTAATTGTCTTGATGGTTTAAACGATAACATCGAATCCATCTTCAAGAAACTGTAGCAAATAAGCAAAATGAAGATATGCCGACTCCCCACCAGAGTTATTTATCGTGAACGTTTTATAAATGCTAAATAGCACCCAACTTACAAGTGCTTTTCTCCTAGCACATGATCGATGCATTCGGTATATCCACCAACTAAATAATTCGAAGGCATTGTCATACATGAATCAGATCATTATTCGGTGATTCAAGAGGATGCTGAATTAATCGACGAAGACAATATGAATTATCTAAATGTTATACACACTTAGTATCTAGCCTACAAATGAGAATACAAGCTTGTACTTTGTGAGTTATACCCACTAACATATTAACAGATAGAAAGTAATTGGTCATATGCAGCAAATGAATACAGATATTTGCCTAATGTTACGCTTTATCGTTAGACATGTATAAAGTTGCCCAACCGTGTCATGTTTGTTGACGAGTTATTTTCCACTTTCTGAAAAGTATCAAGGATAAATAGCTAGTATTTGACTAACAAAATTAAGTTTTTCGTATGCACAAGATAGGAAATTAAAAAAATTCGAGACGATTAACTGTATCATAAAAAGCTAAAACATATATGAACATTTACACCATATAAATTTATGAAAAATCGAAATGAGATTATTTCGTCAGGAAGTAAAAAAACTGCAAAACAATCCAGAAGTATATAGACTACGAAAATAAAATACCACGCACAGATCACTCGCTATTCATTGGTGTATAGACTTAAAGTTTTCATGATATAAAAACTTGTTCTTACTCTAAATCATCACTTTCACAGTATAATTTTGAGTATACCTGAATATGCTTTTCTAAGTCTACCAATGAAACTAGATGTGAAGGCGAAAACAACCAGTGCAAAAGAAGTATTTTCAGCGTTCTTGTACGGAATACCAGGCAGTCTGTTCGCCCAGAGGTTCAGTAGTAGTTAGTAATTCGTACTAATTAGAGATGAAATTCGAGGTACTATCTTGTGTTAAAGATTGTTGTTTGTCACAAAATATAAAAATGCAAGTTATCTAAAGTTCAGCTTGATAAGAATATTTTATTGTTCTAGGACTTACCGTGCAAATTTTTGTGTTGGTAATAAACCGATGGATTTCTTCACAGGAAACATATGAAGCTTGCCAACGTTCTAATGGATCAGCAATATGAGAGGCTGAATTCGCCTATAAAATGTGTGTCAGAATGTGTCACACGATAACCTTATCCTGAAGATACTTCAAGCAGGCTGTTCTCAAAATAGAAATGAACTCTGCATCCACACCAGATTCCCCAGCGAATAATGTATTTGCAGACAACTTTTCACTGGGTTCTAATTCCATTAGCAAGTAAACTTTCTGCTTGTGACCAACAGCCATCGGCACTTCTTTGATCATCTTCTTAGAAATGAGTGATTTTAGTATCCTAGGTATGCGGTTTTGAGGGAGTTTAGTTTCTGAACTAATTAGCTTCAGTGATGCAGCTGAGTTAGAGATTAAGGTATGGAAATGAGATTAAAAGCAAAATACCGTCTTCACCGGCGTTACGTACAGCATTGTAAACCAAACGTTCTTCCAGATCCGATAAGCTTTTCAACTTCCTGGTAAAAATTAAGATATGTTCTGAGTTTACTTACTCAGTCGAATTTTGATCTCTAAGTTGCCATGATAAAGTCCTATCTGCATTGACCAAGACATCCAACATCCCCTCCTTTTGTAATGCATTTAAGATGGGTAGGATGGTAGTGAGTGATACGTCAGAAAATTCCTTTTCAAAATGCTTTTGTGTAAGGGCTCCCCGTGATAAATTGAACAAATTGAGAACCCTGAAGAAATGGAAACGTGTTGACAACAACAAACCTTTCTCGAAGACTATTAGAATCGTCATTCATCGGTGATTAACAAACAAAATCTGAAACAAAGATAGCTCAGCTTGACACATAATACTTTTGCGTTAAGAGGGGGAAATAACTCATTACGGAGTGTTATTTATCATGTAATGCAGTGAAATAAAACCGAACTAGTGTGGTAATATATTTAGTCTTATAAAGGAATTCCAGAAAATGTGTAAACTCTTACATCATTATGATAACATAAGTAAATCCACAAACTAATATATATATATATATATATATATATATATATATATATATATATATAATATATCTCAATAATTTATAACATTAAACAAACACTTGTATATTTCCTAAAAATCATGTTAAATTCTGACGACGATTTTAAATTTGAAACCTGCAAGCCATTAGTCAAAAGTATCAAGTTGAAATGTCTGCATAAAATTTTACTCGTTAACAGTTAGGCATTAAACTTGTAACTCTCCCAAATAGTTCAAGCAGCATATATGTAATATTTTGAACAAAAACTTAATACTATAATTTATGGACGAACCAATCAGATTTAAATCAGGTCTTCGATATTGGTGAGGAATTGGCGGAACTCTAATTTATGGACGACCTTTGAACGAATCTTAAGCGACCCTGAGAAATATTAGCCAATCAGCAAACAGTCAGTATACAGTAAAAATATGTTATACAAGACCAAGGAAATATAGTGGATACACTTCTTATACGTGGTTCAAAAACTTGTCAAGGTTGGAAAGAGGTTCAGAGGTTCTAAAATCGTAATGCATGCAGTAGAGGAAATTATCCATATGGCTACAGAATAGTCGGCCTCTGGAGCCATGATAAAGTCTCAAAAACTCTTTCAGCCTCGACCACATAGCTTCAATATTGTTTATGTGCACTCCGGTTGTTGAGTGCACAAAATGCTACTTGTGGATAATGACACGACGCACATAACCAAGCTTATGGAGGAGTTTGTACGCCCTCCAAACACCCGTATATATTGTAGTACCTGGCTGCAGCCAGTGTTACTGGTGCTTTTATTATCCAGTTCGCAATAATTGTCGTAATTTGCCTTAGGAATTATATATGGGGTTTCCATCACGAGCTGACATCAGCTATGATGCCAGAAACTTATTTAGCCAATTGGATGAAAGGTTTTCGCGTTAAAATCCGAGATCTATTATCTTATACCTGATTGGTTCGTCCACAAATTATAGTCCCGCCGTTTTATTTGTTGTAGCCGCTCAATTATCACGTTTTGTACATAATTCCCTGTGAATCGATCGTACGTTGGCATTAAGCACTGAAGTTGGCGCTGTAACCTTTAAATCTCTAAAACGCCTCTGGTTCGCTCGTCCATAAATTAGAGTCTCGCCGAGGAATTCACTGATCTGCTTGGCTAAAAAGCATTATGGCATTATAGCTAACGTCAATTCTTGATGAAAACCCTAAATCCAATTTCCAACCCTAATGTTCAACTGTAAATACTAATCCTATTTCTTTACATCAGTTTATAAACCGTATTTAACTCTAGTAAGTAGGTGGATATTACTAAGTTTATGTTACTCAAAAATCGTCCATAAATTATAATCTCACCGATACTTCCCCCAAAACTTAATATAGAATCTCATTATGATATAGCACACTACTTTAAACATTATTTGGCTTGGTACAATAGATCATTTGAAAGCATTAGCGAACTATTGGTGCTGGAAACGTTAGCTCACTATACACTTTATAACCTGTTTAAAATAATATGAACAAAAGGCTTATATTCTTTTAATTTCGCATGAAAACAAGAATAGACAACTTAAACCGATGTGTAAATGTACCAAAATTTAAGTCAAAACTGAATGAATAATAGAGACAAACAGACTGTTAATTACGGGAACAAAGGTAAATAAACTCGAAATAATCCATAATCTAGAATTGCAGATTTCAAGTGTTGTTCAAATAAAGTAAACAATTTTGGGCACGACTAACATATGTAGACGCCAGTTGGTTTGAGTATTATAAAGGGCCTAGGGATACATTATAACTCATGGCACCATACGACGAACTCGTTTAGAAACAATAAATCCTCAAAGAGCTACTATGACTCTATTTTACTGCCACGAAACTGTCGGGTGAAGAAATTTGACGACTTCAGTTTACAAACTTTTGGCTGAACCAAGCTGAAAGTCAGGTTTAGAAATTGATTATTTGTAAATGCAATACATGATTTACAATTTTAGATACCGATACACCAAAATCCAAGGACTTGGGAAACGAATCAGCTAGGTGATTTCAGGGAAGCTTCATTAGAAAGTTTAGTGGTTTTCAAGCAAATCAGACAAAGTGGTTGTTTTTTCGATGGACTCAGAAATTTTACTAGAAAGTGGTTCGTATAAATATTAGGGCATATTACCCTAAACGTATACATGTATATATATACGACTATATATAAATATATATATATATAGTCGAAGTCGCACGAGAAAAACCTTACAACGTTAACCGATAAGTCTAAGCTTCTGCCCTTTCATAAATGGCAAGTGAGTAACAAACAATTACTTAATTACTACTGAACGTTTTAAAAGTTTACACGATTGAATGACAAAGACCTTGAAATCCAAAAATGTGACATTAGACGACGTCTGTAAACAAATTCGAAGTCGAAGGAAAAAAAGGCAGAGGAAAATTTAATTAACAACACTTAATCCGGACATTCCAAATAACGACAGTGTGAAATGTAAATCGCAACGTGATTCAATGTTACGTTACGCAAGTTTTAAAAACCGGACCAGTGTTATGCGTTTGGGAGTGATCGATATGAAACCTTGAAATTCACTTTCAGGCTGTTTCGTACTCATCAGAAAGTCAAACTTAATAATCTGAAGTAAGTGACGTTACCTGACTGATGCGAACTTGTGACAGTCAGTTTCATTTTCTGCACTGTTACCAGTAGCAGTTTGAGCTCAGCTTCAATGTACTATTTGCACACTTATCAAAACTAGAAGTGCGCTCACCACTGTTTCTTGAATAATGATTCACGAAACAGTGGTCTGTGTCATATTTGTCTGGTCTTTTACTAGTGGTCATATTGTAGTCTGGCATCAAATATGAGTGACTTGAAATCTTGTTCAGTGTATTTTGAGGATCTCAATAGGATAATATCGACCTAGGATTTTTGAGATCCGCCACTATAAGGATCACCTGTAGTCTTATGTGATGCAGTGAATTTTAAAATAACATTGTGAATGTAATTTCAAGGGGATCGTCAACAGGTATTATGGCTAGTCTTAGTAGGCTGAGTTGTTCCCCATTGGACACCACTGAAATTGCTAATTATTAACGGCCGTTGCTTATTTTACTCATTGTAAAATAGACATACTTCAGTTGTTTTATCCTCTACCCTTAGTTCGTGTTTTTATATCCAAGAAAATCTTGTCATATGGCACGACTCTAATCTATGTGATATGAGCCTTATAACAGTTAAGAGTTCCATATTATGTGACAACACATCTTCCATGGATCAATTTATCAAATTATATGTCTCAAGTCATATAATACTATTCTGTGACTTTTCAGACTTTTTATTCCAAGAAACAACAAACCCCAAGATCGAACGATTGGAGACACTGGTTTCTAACCAAACATTTAGGAGCATAAACGCCGTTGTGTATTGATCCAGTCCTTAGTCACTTGTTTTAACCTGATCGTATAGATAGTCGCATGTTTTAAACTGAACAAATGTTGCAAGGGTCAGTGAAAGTCCGAAAGCGAGTTCGAGTCGACAACAAATACAACCACTGTGAGGATGAATATAATAAACTTTCCTCTGGCATATTGCCTTGTTCAGTGGAAAAATCTAAGACTCAGACTATCCGAAGAAATCTTGGAGTGAAAATGAAAACTAGATGTGGTAATGTTGAGATTTCACAAACACCTAGCCTAATATTATCTGCTTAATTTGTGAAAGTATGGCCTAGCTCGTTATCGTTGATGCTAAATTAATTGACCTGATCCTAAAATTGTAAGCTTGTCATGATATTACTATCTAATCTATAAGATCTTACATGGAAGTCACATCCTTGTCTACACTTACTCGTCCTGTCGTGCTAATCGCTAATATGATGTTACCTACCTCCGGAGAACACATTTAGGCTGAAGATAGAGGAATATATTTCATATGAATAAGAGATAAGTTACACAAGAATGATCACACCTGCCATGATATCCGACTGAATCTAATTAATTCTCCCCGTCTTCTCGATTGTTGGTCTTCTCTTAGCATTAAGTGTCGAATATCTATTTTCCCAATTATCTAATGTTAGGACTAATACCACTATGGAGATATTCGTATTAATGGTTAAGGATAAGTTTTCCATAAAACAGCTATTGTAATAATTCTTCTTTGCCAATTACTGATATAGTGAGTAAAATATTTTAGGATTTGGTTTTAACGAAGAACTTTTGCAACAATGGAGAAGGTGGGGAGAATTAATTAGATTCAGTCGGATATCATGGCAGGTGTGATCATTCTTGTGTAACTTATCTCTTATTCATATGAAATATATTCCTCTATTTTCAGCCTAAATGTGTTCTCCGGATGTAGGTAACATCATATTAGCGATTAGCACGACAGGATGAGTAAGTGTAGACAAGGATGTGACTTCCATGTAAGATCTTATAGATTAGATAGTAATATCATGACAAGTTTAAAATATTATGATTAGGTTTACCAATAGAGCAAAACTAATAACGAAGTAGAACATAATCTTACGACTGAACTGGTAACATTAGTGCTGATATTGAAAAGTATCTCCATACTGTACGTCCTGACACGATACAAGCCAAACACATGACTGAGGAACACAGTAAAAAAAATCTTCACTGAAGAAATTAGAGGTGTAATACAACAGAGTATTGGTAATCACCATTCTAAAGTAGTACCTGGAAACAGCTAAGGAAGTTTTAATGCTCCAAATACTTTCAATTCTGTTATCACCAATTTGATAGGAATAGGTATGAAGACCGTAGAACATATTGAGCCCTGGCTATATGGATTGTGTAATTAT